TTGGTCGCCTGTCAATGATGTTATTTTCCCTTTACCCCCTTTTATTTATTGCATGCTATTTTGCAATGCAGGAATTCTGTAGAGACCTAATTTATTGATGTGATATTTCTATATAGATCCAGTTTACAACAATGTGCTACTCTGACAAGTTGCTCATGCCAGCCACCAAGCTAACGCTTACTGTGATGTTATACCTGTACAACAAGGCTCAACATGTCAAGGTTTTTTTTTTATTGTGAATGTTTTGACCACGAATAACAGTGATGGGCAACCCCACAGTTGAATTGCCAAATAATGCTAGCTACGGTTGCTAGTTGTATGGGTAGCCCCATCAACGTACCTAATGCTAATGTTAAATTAGCAAGGTAGTCTCTTCAACTCTTCAAATGCTCATGGTAAGTTAGCAAGTAGCTTCACGTTAGCTAACATTTCTTTTTGCCACATAATGTTAGCTACAGTCGCTAGTTGTATGGTTAGCCTTGTCAACTCATCTAATGCTATTGGTAAATTGGCAAGTTAAATATACGTTAGCTAACATTACGTGTTTTTAATGTTAGCTATAGTCGCTAGTTGTATGGGTAGCCTTGCCAACTCACCTAATGCTAATGTTAAATTGGCAAGTTAAATATACGTTATCTAACATTACGTTTTACCTTATAAGGTTAGCTACAGTTGCTAGTTGTATGGGTAGCCTTGTCAGCTCATCAAATGCTAATTGTAAATTGGCAAGTTAATTTTACATCAGCTAACGCTACTTTCTGCCACATCATGTCAGCTATAGTTGCTATTTGTATGAGCAGCCTCGTCAACTCATCTAATGCTAATGGTTAATTAGCAAGTTCACTGTACGTTAGCTAACATTACTTGCGGCTATTCATTAGAAAGAAATGACGTAATGTGAAGAAACGTGACTTAAAAGAACCGTGAATGAAACTTTAAAACATTATCTCCTCTGTGAACATAATTTCTGCCTAAGTCACTTTATATAGATTTTCTGCAGTAATGGTGGTTATTTGACAATGAAGACAACAACTCCCATGATTGCACACTTTTTCACTAAGTCATCGTTTTTTTTGCTATTGTTACGCTTGAAAGACCCAAAATGGCAGAGATGACATACTGTGTATTAATATCTAATTAATTGTGACAGAATATTATGTCACAGGTTATAGGTTACGTCATCCAGCCCTAGTACGTGATTTTCTACATGACTTAATATTCACATTGTCATATGGTCACAGACAGCATTGTGGCATTAGTTAAATTCAGCCTCTTTTTTTTTTCTCCTACTCAGACCACGAGTTACATTATTGGTGCATATTGAGTGAATACAAGTGGAAAGATACCAGACAATATTCAGCCCACAACAAATCATTTCATAGTTGTCTGTTTGTTACATAACTGCATGAATCATAGGGAGATTTTTTTTTTTTTTTTTAAAGAAAAGATGATTTTGATCCTGACTATGTGCAGACAACTTCACCCAGCGGGGTCTATACACAGAGAATGATGTTGCATTATAAGCAGTGATAAGCAGCCTCTCTCACTCTTTCTCTCTCTCTCTCGACATCCCATAATGATACTCAGACAGACTCAGGCAGACACCCGCTCGGTCCCGATTGGTAGAACTGTTGCCAGGGAGCGTTGCCGTCTCAACGTGGATAGAATCTGTTGTCTGGTACACTTTAGACATGAGAACAACTGCAGGATCTGAATATTTATAACGAGGGGACTGTTCATATTGAGATTGTATAGAGGCAACATAAGCAAGAGAGGAAGGAGCTGTTCCGATTCTGCTCACTCCAAAAAATTATTTTAATTTGCGCTTGTTCGTGGATTGCCGTACTTTAAATGAGATAGTAATCATGGTATCACTTTCCTGTATTTGTCTTCTTAATGTATATGTAGCTCAGTGAGGTTTTTGTTTTCTGCACCTTGAATAAAAGTTAGTGCGACACCAGCTGAACTTCAGCATTCAACTTATGTGAACTGTTCCATGAAGTGCTGAAGGACAGATACATGAATCATAATTGTGCATGACTTTTACAGGCTTATATTTGAATGTTACCCTATTGTTATTTGGTAGATAGCTACAGTATAACTAGTAATTAAATCTGTGTGAGTGTGTGTGTGCATGTGTGTGTATGCATGTGTGCCATCTGGCGAATCGTTTCATTTCTTCATATTATTCAAATATGCCTGGACCTGCTGCTACAGTTAATAACACTGTGCGTAGGTATGAATCCTTGATTAAAATGGATGTAACACATTCCAACAAAGCAGACAACAGCAATCAGAACAGCATTCGGATCTCATATCTCAACTCACAAACTCTACACACACACACACACACACACATGCGCACTCATGCCTGACATACAGTGCCAAAAGTCACAGCCTGGTATATAACGATGATTATAAAAACACGCCTTGGTATGTGAAAAACTTTGACATGGAAATGCAAACACAGAAGGAAATGAGGACACAAGCGGCGGAGAGGCACACACACCCACATTTATAATCACTCATTAGGCAAACAAGTTGAGGGAGTTCATGCCTTATATTTTTTCATCACGGATGTGCAATGTCTATATTTAATGCAGGCAAGGAGGAGGTTGCAATTTCCGCGTGAATGTCTGCGTGCGTGCCCTTTATGCATGTGTGAACGCGTGTGCCCATCCCTGTAACATACATACATATTTGCTTCAGATTCATCCGTGCATACATTTACATGAACATGCGGCTGTGAGTCTGTGTATATGTGCAGTGTGGCACACCGCCGTCCTGTCTGCCTGACTCAACATATTCTCTGTTCACTCTCCTTTGCTCTTTTTCTCCCCCCTCCCTCTTCCTCTTTTCCCTCACTCCACCCCCCCCCCCCCCCCCCCCCCCCCCCCCCCCCCCCCCCCCCCCCCCCCCCCCCCCCCCCCCCCCCCCCCCCCCCCCCTCCCCTCCTCCTCCTCCTCCTCCTCTCCCTCTCCCTCTCGCTCTGCCCGGCTGGCACGTACATGCATGTCTGTAGACTCTGTACTGTGCTTGCTGCCGTGGCACGCGCCAACCTCACTGCAATGCAGCCCTGTGTGCATTAATTGGCAGAGAGACAGTGGGTATGTGGTATGCAGGGCGGGAAGGATAGAGAGAAAAGGGAGCGGGGAGAAGCTAAGAGGCGATGTAAGGACACAGTGGTGACAATGACTGATGGATGGACCGATGGACAAGCAGTCTGGCAGGTTCACAGAGGGACAGACAGACACACAGAATGTGTATTGCTGAGTGTGCACAGGGAGATTACCTGACTGTGTGTTGCCGTGTGTGTGTAAGAGAACAGGGGAGGGGAGTGTGTATGTGTCTGTTTGCATTAGTGTGTTTGCGGATTTGTGTCTCCTGCGTTTGACTGTGCTTTTTGTGTGTGCTCACTCATGTGTGCCTATATGTGCTGTGCAGATATCACACTGCTGGGGCAAAGCTCTCTAAACCAAAGTCTGACTCACTGTATTCAACGCTTTGTGATATCCTCCCTTTCGTATTTCCGCTGTGACTGAAGAGTAAAAGTTTGCTCAGTTTAGCACAACTTTCTCCACTTGAGGTTTCTTTGGCAAAATAAAATGAAGCGCAATGTGTCTGGATATCTTCTAGGGACACGCACAGATATTAAAAAAATGCTTTGCATCAGCTTTTTTTTTTTAACAGATTGTGTGTGAGGTGAAAAGATGAAATGAGATTTGGAAACCGCTAGCTGAAATGTTTACCATCTACACGTCAGAGGTCAGAGAGCTTCCTCCGTTGTGTTTCTGCTCAGACGCGAGAATTACACAACATTTACATGTTCATGTGTGTACTGTACAAACGCACTTACTCATCTGTCACAGCAATTGTGCATTCTTATCCTCCCACACACATCTTTCTGGAACTTATCCTCTCTGTTAGCTGTTGCCTTTTATCTTTCCTTCCCTGTCACAGGCTGTGACATCTGGCTCCTGTCCTCCCTTATCCACATCAAGCAACATTTAGGGAGGCCTGCCATGCACTGGTCAGAAAATAAAAAATAATGTAACAACAGAAAACACCGAAATGTCACCTGAATAAGCTGAGCCAGCAAAGTGGAGGCGTGAATTAATCATTTAATTTACCAATTCATGTAGAAATACGAAATAGTCTTAGCGTGAAGACAGAACTTCTCTCCGCTTGTGTGTAGGTGTTTGGCAGAGAGGTCCTCGCATGATTCAGAGAAAATACACAACACTTGCTCAAAAGTAAAACCTCTTTTTTTAACTACTGTCCTCCGAAGAATGTAAGACAATGGGAAATACCTTGAAATGACAGACTGTGTTTTTGATGAACCTTTTTTTTTTAATTCTACAATTGGAGGGATTAGAGGATTACTGCATCGCGTATATTAAAGCTTCCAGTTTAGTAAAGCTTTGCTTTACCAAGACGTGACGCATTCTCTCCAGACTTGCGTCAAACAGGGATTTCAGAAGTTTCACTATGTTTAATTAATTAATGGCGGCTATGACCTCTTTGCGCTTTTCTCATTTCTCTTTTGTCTTAGTCATCCCCTCCCTCTTTTCTGTGAGACCATATAGGCATCTGTGTCCAGGGGCAAGTGGCAGAAGTTGCTTCAACCTAATTGTCTTTCTCTACTCGTACTGTCCTCAAATGACTTTCTCTCTGTCTCAACTCTCCCCTCCCTCCCTCCCTCCTTTGCTTCTCTCTAGCTCTGCCCAGTCTCTGTCTCCGTCTGTAACTGTAGCCTGTGTTTTTCTCTCCCTCCCACTCCCTGCGACGTATAGATACTGCATTGATCAGACACACGCGCGCAGACACATGCACACACACGCACACACTGAGCCTCCCACTCCTTTCATCATTGATTCGCTCTGCTCTGCTCTGCTCCGCTCTCTTTTCTCTCTCTCCCCATTCTCTTTCTCTCTCTCTCGCCGTCTCTCTCTCTCTACAGCGGCACTTGTTGAATTCAACCCTTGGAGAATAGAGAGAGGGGAGAGAAACAGAGAGAGATAATGACAGGGAGGCAGAGGGAGGCTTTGAGACAGCGCTCGAACAGACAGTGAGCAGAGAGAATGGGGCTTTGGTGGATCTAGAGATAGAAGATAGGCTGAGGGGAAGACAGTCAGAGGAAAAGTCAGTCAGACAGCACAGAGAATCATCTTTGAGACAGTGGGAATGGCACTTTAAGTGAAAGAGAAAGTCGACCAGACGGAGTACATCAGAGTGCTCTCCTTCCATCTCTAACTACTCCTCTCCTGTCCCGACTGCTGCTGCTGCTGCTGCTGCTGCTGGTGTGTTAGTGTGTGCCAAGGCTCCATGGTGTGTTTTAACCAGAGGACTGGCTTACACAGGTCAGAACTGTCTGGGATAACACTGAGCGCTTTTCTCTGCATTTGTGCATGTGCGAGAGACTGTTAGCAAGGGGGGAAAGTCGTGTGCTGGTTTCTCCAGGTGAGTGCTTGCGTGCCAGAGTACACAGTCATTTCCCTATGCAGCCTGTACTGTATGTGTGTGTGTGTGTTTGTGTTTAGGCGTGCACACTTTTATGTAAGTAAGCCAGAGTGCATGCCTGTCTGTATGGAGTGCATGAAGTGGGAGAGAGAGCGAGAGTGTGTGTATGTGTGTGTAAGAGAGAGGCGGTGACATTTTTTTTTTTTTTTTTTTTTTCAGTTTGTATTCCTGGAAACTGTTCTGCAGCATTGCTTAATAATGAAACCAGTGCGTATATATGTATGTGTGTGTGTGTGTGTGGGTTGGTGGGGAGAGAAAAAACAATGACACAAGGTTCAGGGAAGGAAAGAAGGCGCAAATATGCCTGGAGTACGTAACTGAGAAGGAGAAAAGGGAGCTTTCAAAGTTAATGTGAGTTGTTTTGTGTCGTAGCCAGAGTTTAGAGAGAGGGCAAATGCGGATGATAGTATAGAGCCGGCAAAATGAAGGAGTGTGTCTGAAGTCGGACGTGAAAAACTGGTTGTATTAAGTAGGGTTTCCACCCTCAGGAAAGTTGTTGTCAAGGCTGATTTGCAGGTCATCAAAGTCCATGCTTGATGTGTTAAGTGCAGTGAGTTCTTGGAATTTAAGTCATGCAAAAACAACATAGCCTGAAGGTATTCTCAGTGTCCTCATGTACAGTAGGCACGGCATTGCATTGTTTTTTTTTCCTCTTTGTGGACTGACTTGACTCCTCCTTTCTCTCTCCTGCCTCTATTCTCTCACCCACAATCTCCGCATATCCATCTCTCTTTCACACACCTCTCACTTCTCCCTCAACTGTATTCATTTTCTCACTTCATCTCAACTCTATTTTCATTCTTGCTCTCTCTTCCCTTTTAAGACTCTCTCAATTTTCCCTCCTCGCCTCTCCACCTCCCTCTGGCATGTCTTTTCATCTTTCATGCATTGTCTGTTCACTCTTTCTTTATCGCTGCTTTTCTTTCCCCAATACATTCTACATATTTTTTATTTTACAGATGCCTCTCTCAGCGGCAGAGTCTGCAGTGAATATCTGAAACCCCATCATCCTCTTCTTCCGCGGCCAACATGTCCCAGCTGCTCCATGTGGAGATCCCGAACTTTGGAGCCACAGTTCTGGGCTCCCTTAATGAGCAGCGCCTGCTGGGACATTACTGCGATGTCTCCATCCTGGTCAAAGGTTGGTTCGTTGGAGATTTTATTTCAGTTACAGAACTTTGTACTTAGACGAGAATGATGTATCAATGTTCTCACCTTTTTTCCCCTGGTCTCTGTTATTTCTATCAACCAGGTCAGGCTTTCAAAGCCCACCGGGCCGTTTTGGCTGCCAGCAGCCTCTACTTTCGTGACCTCTTCAGCAGCTCCACCAAGAGCCAGTTCGAGTTGCCCTCCTCAGTCACACCTGCTTGCTTCGAGCAGATCCTCACTTTCTGCTACACAGGGAAGCTAACCATGGCAGCTAGTGAACAGCTGGTGGTCATGTACACAGCTGGCTACCTCCAAATTCAGCATATAGTCGAAAGAGGCATGGACCTAATGTTCAAGGCGAACTCACCTCACTGTGACTCGCAGACCGCGGGGTCTTTAGAGGAAACAGGATCCGAACCACAGAGTCCTTGTAATAATGGTAACGGCCTAGCGGTGGCTGCCCTTTTGGGAACCCAGGGCTGGTCTTCATCCATACTCATGCCGCAACGTAAGATTAAACTAGAAGGGGGGGAGCCAACGCCCCTGACAGTACCCTCAACGCAAAGCAAGATTTCGTCCTCGGAGCTGGGGAACCGGCTGAGGGCTAGTTCGCTGTTCTACACGACAGCTGGTGGGACTCCCATCCCTGGTATGCCTCCTTTCCACCTCCAAGGGGCCGGTGGGGGTGGAACAGGAGGAGGAGGAGCTGAAAGGTCCAGTCCTGGCGCGTCCAGCCTGCCAACCACTGACAGCCCTACATCCTACCAGAATGAGGATGAGGAGTTCGAGGAAGAGCCCTACGATGGGATCACAGAGGATGCCTACAGTCATCTCTATGGACGTTCAGCTAACCCCTACGGGAGTGAGTATGATATTGCACTGATGCTTTTACAATTTTTTTGTGGAGTGTTGCAGGGCTTTGGTGTGTTTGGTGGAGAGCACTCATCGCTGAAGCTTTACTCTGGAATATTTTTCATCATTAAAAACACAGCATGAGCTCAGTTATAGGGGAAAATTAATATTACATTTTTATCACACAACAAACTCAAAAATATTTTATTCCACGACAGCAACTTTTGTAGTATTTACTTCTTAATTCCACTTAATTAATGCTGTTTAAAGGAAAAATGAGTCAGATGAGCAAACAAGATAATCTCAATGTCAACCCTGCGTCAATATCCTCTCGTCAGTATCTCAAAAATCTCTCTCGTCATGTAAGATCTGACTAAGTGAATTACTTTCTCCGTTGCCCTTGGCTCAGATAGAGGAAATACATTTGATATCAGATTGACCTAAAAGTAAAACTCTGCATGACTTGCAGAAATATACCCATGAATACAGGGTTTATGGAACATAGTTCCTGCTTGTCTGAACTTGTTATCTACAGTGCAAAAAAAAAAATTACCGATGCACATTCATTCCATCCCAGTTACATTATTTAATCTTTCATAAATCATGTATCCTGAGCATCTTTTAAAAAAAAAAAAAAAAGCAGGATGTTATGCCTCCAGTGTGTGTGTGGGTTCTCTCAGCATAAAGATAGCTTTATGGAGTTATGATTGGAGTGCATCGTGACCAACAACACACTCCTTATCGCAGCTACAACAGCTGGTCTGTTCTGCTTTTTGTTAGAGTTTTCATACTGGTGTAGGTTGGCCTAAAACATGCAGGCAAGGATGTTGAGTTTATATGTGTTTGCATTCATATATAAATGCACAGACTGGACACCAGTGGAGACACTTAGGCTCACATGCACACACACACCTTCCATCTTTCTTGGCATCCTGCAGCTCAAAGGCATCACACAGGTTTGTCAAATTCTAGAGTTTCAGATATTTATGAAATCCACTCTATCTGCAATCAGTCAGAGCACCCCAGGGTGACATTGTGGGATATTTGAGAACCATGCACGCCTTTCCTGTGTGTGTGTGTGTGTGCGCGCGCGCGTGCATGCGTGAGTGCGTGCGTGCATGCGTGTGTGTGTATGTGGTACAAGTGTGAATGCACATGCTAGTGCTTTAATTCACACTTTTTTGTATGCGCTAGATGCACGTGCCTGACAATTAATATATTTATTTCTATTGCTCTGTGTGTGTGTGTGTGTGTGTGTGTGTGTGTGTGTGTGCGCACAAGAGGTGTGTGCATGTGCGTATCACTCACAAGTCATCTCAGAGGTTAGGGGAAACAAATTTGTGAGTAAGAACCTAACACCCAGCTTCGGATCTGTCCCCCTCCAAAAACTCAAGTTGCTGATGCAGCATCATGACTTATCTGGGATACATCTGCAATGCTCTAAAACATTTATGAAACACAACAAGCTTGTATGAGATTACACCAACCTGCTTCACTAATTTTATAGCCTCTATTTAAACAGAGGGCACAGAGAGGTTATGGACGATGCTTGTCTTTTGTGGTTTATAGTCTGATGATAATATGAATGCATACAGATTTATCCGTCTCTGTTTTTGCTGTGTAACGAAAGCTCTCTGAACCCCCTTTCTGTTCCCGCTTGCTTTCATCAGTCCAGGACAAGCCAGAGATGGCAGCGATGCCCTTGGCCTTGGAGAGCCGCAACTGTGTGCTGATCCGCAGGGACCTGGTGGCGCTGCCTGCAAGCCTCATCAGCCAGATAGGCTACCGCTGCCACCCTAAGCTCTACACTGAGGGGGACCCTGGGGAGAAGCTGGAATTAGTAGCTGGTAGGCACGCACGCACAAATACATGTATCTACTGACACGCATTGACATCACACATGCAGAGAATAACTTGGATTGTAGAAAGTATTAATGCCTCCATGCTTTAGGTCATTTAAAAATTCAATAGCTGGTAAATTAAACAGACTAATTTCAACAAACAAATTCAGGACATCAGAGAACTTATTCTATTGTGAAACAGAAAACCTTAAAAGCCCATCAAGACTTTTTCTAGAGCTGGTCATTTGCACAAATTTAGAAACTGTGGAAAGTTGATTGGGCAGGTTATCCACAACCCATTGACCCTTACTAATATCTTATTTTATGCAGGAGATGCATGTATTCAACCTGCGTTTGACCCATATGAGACTGCTGTCAGAGGTTAATCTCTGGTCATTACCATTTACAGTGACTTGAGTGTACCACTCTAGGTTTAATTTACGTTAGCGCTCAACAATATGATCAAGACATTCTGGTCAAATTGTGTTTCAACAGCAGTGATGTTCCATTTGTTTCTCATCCTTGATGAAAGCATCTTTTAATAGCGCCCAACTGTTGTTTAACCAGATTCTGAGTGGTTTTGAGCTACAACGCTGTGGTGATCTGAAAACGACAGAGCAAAGCTGCAGAGTTTCTCTGCAGAGATTGAGGACCGTGACAGAAGGACAACCATCTCTGCAGTACTCATCAATCAGGCCTTTATGGTAGAGTGACTAGACAGAAGTCACTCTGGAGTAAAAAGCATATGACAGCCTGCCGGGAGTTTGCCAAATGGCCCTTACAGGGCTCTGAGAGCATGAGGAAAAAGATTTTTTTTTTTTTTTTGGCATGATGAAACAAAAACTGAACTCTTTGGTCTAACTGCCAGACGTCGCTCTTGGCAGTAAGACCAGAGACTTTCAAAGAGACCAGGTACCATTCAACATGTAGCTAATATAATTCCTACAAAGGAAGAGGGCAAAAAGTTTAATCAATTTAGTATTGAATCTTCTCAGACAAAAGAGTCTGAGTACTTCCCTGTGTATTTTACGGACAGAACACGAGGACACATGCAGTTGCGTGTAATCAATCACAAAACTTTCTGGTACAAAAGATGTTCAGAACAAAAAGAGTTCAAAAAGTTACCGCATGCTCAAATTTAATCAGATCGTGATGTAATTGAAAAACCACAATGGAACACAGTGGAAACGGGTTATTGGGTTTTGTAGTCTGCATGTAAGATGCGGAGCACAATGCACAAATGAGAGAGAGATGGTTTTGAAAAGAAAAGCAAAGCCAAGTAATTTAACAGCGTGCTGTTTCTATGTCCTTCACCTTTGACTCCTCTCCCGATCTGAAGCTATTCTTGGCAGCTGAAGCTTTGTGTAACTGAGTGGCTTTCTTTTTTCTCTACACCAGGTACACAGGTGTTCATGACTCGAGGACAGCTGATGAACTGTCATCTATGTGCCGGTATCAAACACAAAGTCTTGCTTCGCCGTCTGCTAGCCACGTTCTTTGATAGGTGAGTGTAAAGGCACGCACAACTGAGCAGAACAGTTTGTGTGAGTCTTTATGGGCCCACTGCAAGATTGGAGTTGTGTGTATGACTCCAACACTACCTCTGTTGTCTCAAAGCAACTTTCACACTCCATCTGTGGCCATGTTGTGCAATGCGGTTAGTTGTGTGTGTTCCCATGTTTATCTACTGTATGTGCCTGTTGATGACTCTGCCCTCTGGTGTCGACTCTGTGTCCCTGCAGAAACACTTTAGCCAATAGCTGTGGGACAGGCATCCGTTCGTCTACTAGTGACCCCAGTAGGAAACCCCTGGACAGCAGGGTCCTCAACGCTGTCAAACGTAGGTTTATCATTTAAATCATCAAATGTATGTGATGGAATTTTAAAAGAGTGCAGTTTGTCTTCATTGAGTTTGTTGTTTTCTCTCTTTTGCAGTCTACTGTCAAAATTTCAACCCTAATTTCAAGGAGAGTGAAATGAATGTGATTGCTGCTGACATGTGCACAAATGCGAGGCGTGTCCGCAAGCGATGGTTGCCCAAGATCAAGTCCATGCTGCCTGATGGCATGGAGGTGTACCGTGCAGGAATGGGCATGGGTGCTGCTGTGGGTCTTGGCCTAGCCCTGGGCGCCCCTCAACCGGGGGTGCCTCTCCCATTTGAGCCCGACTTCAAAGCCCTAGAGCAAAGGTTGTACCCAGACCGCAAAGACCCTCTCAGGACTCACCCACCGCTGACAGAGGGCAGCCCCGGGTCTGGGGCAGCTGGAGCAGAGGCTGAAGGTGAAGGTGAAGGAGTTGTCCCGGAGGAACAGGAGGAAGATGAGGATGAAGCTGCGTTAGAGGGTGTAGACGGATCATTGGGGGCGCCAACCTTGATCCCAGGAGCCGAGGCGGGCAATTGTGGCGACACGCCGCCTGAGCAGGAGGTGGAAAGTTTTGGACAAGGTCTGAGGGTGAACGGACAGTGAATGTCCCTCTGGGCTGCCTCTCACATTGTGAAATCTGTTTAACACCGCATTTTCTTTTGCTTGCTCTCTTACTCTAACATCTCAACCACCACTCTTTCTTCTCCTCTGTGCTTCCTCAACGGGAATTATTCGGCACAAAAAGCTGCGCTCGTAGATCCTGCTATACAGTAATTTCTCACACATGCATGCGCACGCGTGTGCTCGTGTACACGTAATACTTACTGATAGTGGAAGTAGATCACTCATAGAAGTAGACACAGGCATGGCATTAGCACATTAAGAATCAACCTTTTCTGCTCCACCCTTTTCTTAGTATATTCCGTATTTACTCAGTATTTCGGCACCCGCAGCAATATTACAAAGGCCTGGTAGCAGAGCAAAAGGCTGGAATGATTTATCATTTCGGTGCAACACAAAAGAAACAGCTGCTTCGCTGGCAGTTTATGGAGTGCGGTTTAATGGTTTGTAAAATGATTCCGTTTTCTTGGAATGCCACATCTGAAAATAACCCGCGTAACCTTGGGAAAAACAGATAAGAGAAACAAGGCTCTCTTAAAAAGCAGCTTATTTTTTTATATGATCAATATGTACAAATATATAACAAAGACTGTATTATAATTAGAGGTCAAGCAGTGCATTGCCGCCATTAAACCCAACAGTTTTCCTTTTTGTCAAAACATCATGTCATTTTAGGATAAAGACGAGGGAAAGTTTTTCTGTGAAAGCTGAAAAACTTCCCCGCAGTCAAAGGAATAATCTATCACATGGAGTTGTGTTTTCATGCACATTCGCCCATGACGTATTGGATTAGACTGTCAATGTGATGCCTGTGTCTGCTCCAGACCGCCCACCCCTCCCCAACCACACGCACAGATCCACACACACAAACGTGCGCATATCTCTCACCTTATGATATTTAATATCTGCACCGATTACATTCAAAACACACTGTCCCCAAAAAAAAAAAAAATGTAACAACACTTTTTAACTTTGAGAAATCCTTTTTTGATTCCATCATTGTGTCTTGGAGATACAGAGAGAGACATGAACAAGAACATGCACTAAAACCCAAGCTTGCATGCATGAATACAAACAATGGAAGCAGAGAATTATTGAAAACAACAACAAAGCCACAAACTTGCATTTAAATAAGAAAACAGCTACTGTTGCCTCGAGATATGCCATTAAAGGACTTTTTTCTTTTTTTTATCTCTCACTGGGATCTGACCTCAGTCTGACACATGTTAGAACTGACCTGGGCGTGACCCAGGATCGACTGTGTTTGACAGAGCACAGATTGGATTTTTCTTTTTTTTTTTTTTTCTTTTTTAACTACGGAGCGTGCTGTCATCACAGGTAGAGGAGACTGAATATATGGAGTAGTAAGAGGAAGTGCACTACACTGAGTGGTAGAAGAGAGAAGCACTGTTTCACCTTGATGTGGTGGTGTGATTGGCACCGAGACTACACAGTCCTGCTTCCATCCTGTTTTTCTTTTTCCCTGGGGTGGGGGTGGGGGGGTCGGGGGGGTAAATTATTGAATTAAACTTATAAGAGCAATTTCTGCTGGCTTACTGCATTTGCACTCAAGGAAGGGTTAAAGGGTGGAAATCTAAGGAGCAAAATGTGACTGTACTAGAGACTCTAAATGTCCTCCACATCACCCTGATTGTTTGATGAGGGGGGATTGTGGGTTTGGAAAGAGAAAAACTGGTCTTTCTGAAGATTACTGTTCTGTTTCTATGTTTTGAAAAGGGGGGGCGGAGTGAGGCAATGTCGAGCAGGGACATAAACCTGTATTTGTCATGCTCGTTTTCTTTTCTTATTTGATATCTGTTTTCATGCTTTCTGCCACGCAGTCCTAACAGCCTTCCTTTGTTGTTTTGTGCATTGATTTTAAGAGATACACTGTCGTATGTTCATTTTTTTTTCTCTTTTCTGTGTCAAAGCAAAACTAATCACAAGGTCAGACCATCAGATTTAAGGAATTTATGAACCTGGACGTTTTCCCACTGCAAAAATTTACAGCGTAACAACCAAGCAAAAAAAATACACAGTAAATGCCCCTGATATATTTGAAATGTTTTAAGCTCCAGTACTGTGCCACCTCAAAGGTTGTGTTTACGTATCTTGTTTCGGATCCTTTAGGAGAAGCTTTAAGATGGCCCTGCACAAGAAACACAGGGTTTTTGCACTAGGTGATGATAATTATAATAATAATAATGACGTTTACAGTGTCTTTTGTTTCCTTTTGGAAGAAATGTGATCCGCCATAAATAGAACAGGGCACATTGATAGCATGGCTGAGATGATGAATGAATGTAAACCGTAGCACTGCTTTGGCGAGGGGTCCAAGCCTTGATTGAATAGGTCAAATAATCTTTTATATATATATATATATATATGAAACATGGGCCATAATATAACTAATTTGACTGTGAGGTTGGGTGATATTCAAACCTAAAGCTTTAGTGATTTTTGTAACTGAGTGTGAACAGGTCTTCCAATGTGGCACCAGGGAGCATCTCCCAGATGTATAGAGAAGTGCAGGCTTTTATAACTTTGTTTATTCAAGGTTTATCCCAACAAACTCCTAATTTTTCCTATATTTTCACAGTTATATGTGTTTATGTTGACGTGTTCACAAAGCTGAGAGATCCTGAAACTTTTTGTATAAATGTCAAGACTTGGCAAATTATTTCTATTCTTCGTTTTTAAATTATAAAGCCTCAGTTCCTAAAGTTGCTCTTGTATGAATAAAGACTTGTTTGTCGGAGCCACTACCGTAATTGCTTGACTTTTGAAAGGATCACCTGTGCTTCTGATGTTGTCAAGGTAACAGTCTTCCCAAAATATATATCATTTTGGAATTAAGCCAAATTCACAGTTATTACCCTAGATAGCAAAATAGCTCGTAACTTAATCAGCCTGTCACCTAAAAGTGTGAAACCTGTGTAATCCACTGTTAAAGTGCAGTAAGTGTGATACTTTTATTCTGTTCTTCTCTTCTTTGGTTACGTTTCCAAACAGACCACTACTTTAACTCACAGGAATTTGGAATGAATTCTTATAGCAGTAAATAATATAGGGTGGGAAGCGTTGATATATCACACTGTAGTGATAAAGGGGTGTGGAGCAGTGCCTTAGACTGTGACTGTATGGGTGTGGATGTTGTCATGTGAACCTTTATGTTCAGAGACAAGACAAAGTAACCAACAGATTTTCTCCTTTGCTAAAATTGGCCTTCAAGAACCTTTAATAATGTATAAGTATTTATTCACTCATCATCTGTTTGCCATCATCTCATTCTTAACGAGATTGTGTGCACCAGCCCAAATTTATCGCACATAGATGCTCGCACTATTTGTACAATTGACAGACTTCCCAAAAAAGTATAGAAAACATATCTATCGTATTCCCCTGTTCACATTAAAGCTGGGGCTTTTCAGAGACTCCTCGTAGGAATAGTCTTCCTCGCGAAACAATCCCACATACATAAACATTTGACATTTATTTCCCTCGGTGCATTCACATTTCAGCGTGTTCACTGTTTGTCTGCCTTACCACGAAAGATGTCTGAATCTGTCCCGGCCAACAAAACCCCCCCCCTTTTTTTTTTTTTTTTTAAGGAAAAAATTTATCTCCTGCTTCGGGTCTGTTATTTTTCTTGTGCAGGGTGAATTTGAACACGAACGATGTTGCACTATAAGCTGAGAAATTCTCAGAGAATGTCACGGCTAACCCTTGGGACAATGAGCTGTTTGAGGTGGCTGAAAGGGAAAAAAAAAGTCCTGTAAAATGTATGTACTGTTGTGTTTTTTTATATATATCTTTGATTGAAACCAGTGTCTCCTTCACAGCAAACTCTGTAGTTAGGATTTTTTTTTTACTTTCATAAAAATGACAGAAATTTGTCTTTTGGAATATCTTCCATTCACCTGGACAAGAAAAGAGCTAGGACGGGATTGTTGGTTGAAAAGAACCTGTTTTTGCAAATATTTCTTTGCAAATAAATTGCTTCTTACTTTCTACAAACCCCACACAGTGCTCTGTTCATCCCCCCGTTACTGTAAAACCGATGGGCGCAGTCATTTTTGTTCTATCAAGTGGTTTATCCTGAAAACAATACATTTATATGCAAAGAGACACTTGTATCATAAAATGCATGCCATTCAGACACTCACTCTAACCCAATGAAACCTCTGATCTTTATGCACCATGTATTTTATGCTGAATAACTGTTGTCACTATTAGCAAACAAAGACTGTGGAGTCTTGCAATGAGTAGGGTTGTATTTTTATCACACACCCTGGCCTTTTATTGAATGTTTGTGTCGAGTTTAATCTATTATAATAATGACAGCAAAGTAGTAGTGATAAAGAGTGGGATACACAGTGTAACTACCCAGCTGAGTGTGCATTTAAACCTTTGGCAGACTCAGACAAATGCACTAAAGTTTGTATGTGTATGTATGTGTCCTTGAACATAATGCCAGCACTTTAGAACTACTTAGAAAAATGAATGAACAAGAGTTTCAGAAGGGTTCGGTGAACGAGGAGAAAACTTTTAAAGCCATGCGTTCAGAGCGCTGACAATCAGAATAGGGATGAGACCCAAAGTGCATTATGGGAGATCTGACATGACTTGCTGTGATCTTGCTGTTTGCTTTGTCTTTCTCCAGCTTGCTTTGGTCTGTGCTAGCTTACTTTCCAGAGTGGAGGGACATAGTGATGTGAACTCCAGCCTTCTTGGTTATAAGTGTGTGTCTCTGCAACAAGGACTGACTGATATTTGACTGATACCTTGGTGCTTCGTGAACAGAGCTGTCCCATGTTGACATGGACCATATCTGTAATGCTCTGGTAAGCGTGACTTGGTCCTAAGTCTGGGCTTACTGGTAACCTCTCTCAATGGACAAGAGTCCGTACAACAAAAGAGGATCTTATCATGCAACCCTACACTTTGATCATGGTAACGTTCTTCACTATCAACAGGGCTTGGACCAGGCAAACTGGGATGGGATTTCAGTGTTGATACTGCTTTATGTTTCAAATGAAAAAAAAAATGTTAAAATGTTTATGCGCCTTCTGACTCAAGCATCAATAATATATACAACAGAAATGCAAGTTGCCACTTTTGATGTTGCATAAGAATCTACCTTTCATTCCCATCATGGTATTTGCCATCACCAGTTTCAGTTGTGTAGTCCAAGAGTACCTGATTTCTTTAAATGCAATACAGAAAAAAATCTGCTTTCTAATAAAAGTCCTTACTTCACCATATACTGTGTTGATGTTTTATTCCATGCAGAAACTGTTGACTTAATCCCATTATTTGCAAAAAGAAATCTCTCAAACCTTTGGCAAGATGCCTGGTAAATTGGGATTGCTACTTTATTTCAAATCAATCCAAATTATTTTAGTGTGAGAAATGTATTTTAATTAAAAGGTCTTTTTGCCAAAATATAAAAAACAATATAATAACACCTTAACATTGCAAAACAAACACAAAACTGTCTTTTTCCTTCATTAATAAACTCCTCAAAGAAGCTTAATATAAATGAAAAAAAAATGTAATTACACCACTGCTGCTCTATAGACAATGAGTGGAAGACTGATTTTGTGGATCCACAGAATATTTGTTTTCAGTTTAATACCCAAATGAGCTTTATTCTATGGTAGTGCTTTGAAACAGAAAATGTACCCATATACATGTGACATTCCCCTGGGTGCTCTCACTCTATAAAATTGTTCCCAATTCATTCTATGGAGCAGATCCAGACTATATACCCTATGACATCACAAATTTGAGTTTTGGGGACTGTTTGTTATTTATGAGGGAGGGTGGAGGTGGTGCAAAAGGAGGGAAGCATGTCAAATATATTTTTTTATCACTAGGGAGGGACTTAATACATAAAATTTTCATAACCGCTTATCCTGCTGAGGGTTGCGGGGGAGCTGGAGCCTATCCCAGCTGATATTGGGCAAGAGTCGGGGTACACCCTGGAAAGGCCACCAGACTGTCACAGGGCTGACACATAGAGACAGACAACCATTCACACAGGCAATTTAGAGTCTCCACTTAACCTACCCTGCATGTCTTTGGACTGTGGGAGGAAGCCGTAGAACCCAGAGAAACCCCACACTGACGTGGGAAATGTGCAGAGGGGCTCCCCCAGCCCGGTTTCGAACTGCCCACCTCAGGTTTGAAGCAGGAACCCTCTTGCTGTGAGGCGACAATGCTAACCACTGCACCACCGTGCTGTCAGGTGGGAGAGGCTTATGCTTTTCATTTTTGCATTTTCAGGGCACAGAAATTGAAATGGTTGTATTTTTTATTTATTTCACTGCTGATTGCCGCATATTTTCTTTAGAATTCACCAAAATTACACCATTTATTGTAGCCAGTAACTATAAAAACAGAAATTTTTGTTCACAAAAAAACTCACAATCAAGCTTATGAGCTTACGATAGTGATATTTCATCAAAATCTCACCTCATTTAAAATTCGGCAAAAAATAAATCACTTGCAAAAGCTAATCTGCATGTCAAGAGTGAAAAACCAAGGCTTTTTTCAACTCCAGGATTTCGTCTTTAACGTTTAACTTTCAAACATCAAATTGTAAGTTTTAAAAATCTAATATCTAATTTATGGTGGAGGGAGGGTCGTGCATTTTTTGCCAGTCACTCAGGGAGGCTCAAGGAAAAATCTTTGTAGTTTCGGGAAGGGTAAAAAAACAAACAAATTCACACCCCAGCCACTCCACAGATTTAAACAGGCGCTAGATACCAGACATCAAGATGCCGCACTATTCATTCCAATGGAGTTGCTCACCTGGCGCATATGCTAAAAAAGTTTTCTAGCTTCAGGGTTTACTTCCATGGTATGTGGCCCATTGAATATGTGCAGTAGCCTAGTGTTTCTCCCTCTGGCCCCACCCACAAGCTCCTGCTCGGCTAATAGAATCAACATCGTGACAACAGATGTTTAAATCACTTTCCTTGGCTAAAGGAAAGTTTTATAAATATAAAACCACCATTGTTCAAAAATGTAGGATGGAAAGATTCATAATTGACCTTGTGTGCAGTTCGAGGTGTCCTATCAACAGATTTATGGACATCTTTTTTACAGTGGTGGTCTATGGGGAAAATTATTTGTTCGGTGCAATACCACAAGTGGCCACTGGGAAAAGTTTGTGACAAGGCTGAGTGGCTTTCCTGGGGGCCTGAGCCACCCAACTTCTCTTATAAGTAAAGAACAGTCCTTTAGCACTCTAGTCTTTGGATTTGGGAGAGAGAGTTGTCCTTGTTTACTAATATTTTTGGACTGTCTTAGACTATAGGAATAAAGTGTATGCATTTTGAAAATGGGTGAAGTTCCCCTTTAAAAATGTATTCTATTAATATCAGCAATCAGGAAATCAGCCATACTTTTGTGTTATATGTTATGAGGCTATGTGCTTTTGTCTGTCTTAAATATGAACCAAAGTCATTCCAAAAACATGTTCCCCATTTTGTATGCCAGCTTCAAGAGTTCAGTGTTGTATGCATAGATGGTGATCTCATGATGCTCTGGTATCGACTCGTCATCCTGCGTAGCTACGACGTTTCTCTACGGCAAAATCGCGCGGCGTGTGTTGAGCTGTCCTAGCAGACTTATGTGCCTCACCAGAAATTCTTCTCAAATACAAACAAGAGAGGAATAAACTCACACAACAGGTCGGCTGTAAAAGCAGCAGCCTCTGTTCTCCAAAATGAGTGACGACACAGACACCCCTCCTGAGAGGGAAATGAAGGTAAGCTGTTATCCACAAGTTGTGTTGACAGGTTAGCATGTGTAAGCTAATGTTTGCTAGCACTGAGTCAGTACATTACAAGTGGCTTGGGCTAGTTTAGCTGTTTGGCTAGCCGGTCGGGTTTAGATGTACTGTGTGATTAACCCTAACCCCAGAACACTTACAAACACATATTAATAACGTAGATACAAATAACGGTTGGTTGTGCCATGGTAGCATGAAAAAGCTGTTGCTGCAGTTTTTATCCTCAGTTTGTGACTAGCTACTTATGCTAGCACGTTAGCTATTAGCACCATGTTATATTGTATTTGCTTATTGAGTGAATGCTAATTTTATTTGGAGGTTATTTGAACTAAAAATATCCTGTATGTGAAACAAAGACATCAAATACGTGTCGCGTTCAGTACATTTTGCTTCACAGTTACTAACGTAGCTTAGCATCTTTAGCTAACATGACGTGACTGCTTTGCATGTTTACCCAACATTCTGACTTTCACTTTGACGCTTGGCATAGCTCTGTTGTTGAGCAGTGAAGTTGAAAGTAACCAAGTAGTTGTTTAAAAGGCAACTAGTAGTAGTGTTTCCAGCACTTAAAGAAAATGTGGCTGTTAGTTTATATTGTAAGGGCACAATCCATGTTGTCCAGCATGTTACACCTTATTATTGCTCTTTCTTCGTGGAATACAATACAGTTTAGTTTGAGTTTGCGGTTGTTAAACTGAAACCGCATGTTATCCCCTGTACGTCTCATCCTGACAAGCACTGCTGTGTTTCTTTTTCAGGACTTTCAGTTTCGTCAGATGAAGAAGGCGCGAGTCTTTGACACTCCTGATGATTTTCCAAAAGAAAGAACCAGTCTGCTGACCATCTCAAACAAATTTGGTTTAACTTTTGTCGGGCTCGACAGAACATTCAAAGTTTACCAAACCCAAGATATTCTGGCTGCTGATAAAATTGACGGCAACGCCAATGATATAGGTATGAACCTGACCGTACAGGCTCAGATTCCAATATTTATCCAGTCAGTTTTGCACTACACTTTGTTAACTGTTACTGTTCATCTTTCTTCTAGTCGAAGGGATGGCAGCATTGGCGGAGGTCACTGTGGAACTGGCCCTGCACCACTTGGCTCTCAGCTGTGATGAACTTACTTTGTCAGTATGTGGCATGTCTGAGGAGACGGGCTTGTCCATCACATTCTACGATGTCCGCACCTTCATGAACAAGGTGACTACTTTTGTCAGTGTAATTAATGTGTGTGTGTGTATTAGACATGCATCACGCTTATTTCAGGTTGCTCCAGGGTTTGTATGTGTGTATAACAAACATAGAGACACTTGAAGATTTGCTAGTTGTGCTGTGCTGTGAGTTACTGTGATGTTGCAAGTATATCAGCCACCACAATCTTCCAGGAAATAATTGTCCAGTGCAAATGACTTTATAGCTTATTTTAATCTTACATGGTTAGTCAGAGCTCTCCAAAATGAGCAGCAGCAGACTCACAGAAGCCCCTAATACGAAGAAAACCACAGCAGTTATTTTGAATTAAATTATCATTTGCAAAAAAAAAAAAAAACATCACCCCGAAGTCTCCAAATAATTCGACCTTTCCTATTTCGGCCTTTATGAATACACAGCTTGTAAACCTCTGCTGCAGATGGGCAGTCTCCATGCAATGAACAGTTGAATTATTAGAAGGTAGTGCATTACGAAATAATTTCATCGTTGTTTCACAAATGTCAGTTTAAATGTGATTACTTCTCTTGCTCGGATATTCAGTTATTATATCTGCCAGATTTAGTCAATTTTTACATTTGACTTGTTGATTTAAAAAAATCAACTTTTGTTTTTCCAGGCAAGACCTCAGAAGTTACCTTTTGGATCACTGCTACCAGCAGTACCCCCCGGCACTTTGGTGCAGGACCTGAAGTGGAATCCTGTACAGGCATCCATATTGGCCGTCTGTCTGTCTGACGGCCAGATGATGATTTTGGAAGTTACTGACAATGTCAAAGTGCAGGCCGGTCTACCTGCTTCAACTGGCGTCACATGCAGTAAGCGACACTCTGCGTAGAAAATTTGGTTTACTTGTCTTCAGTTTTTCTATAGTGGCTCAAATTTTGTTTCTTTGTTTCACACAGTTTGCTGGAGTCCAAAAGGAAAACAAGTCGCTGCAGGAAAAATGAATTCCACAGTCTCTCAGTATACACCAGTAAGTAGACCTAATTCACAATAATGAAAAATGAAACACTTACTGCTGTCTAAGAACTGCAACGTCCAATGTCTGACAAGATGAATAACTGATGTTGTACTCTGTTAAAAAGGGACTGGAAGAAAAGAAAGTTATCCTATGTCCAAACTTCTACACCGCTGACGAACCTGTCAAAGGTAAGGTGAATCCCATACATATAAAAAAAATATGAGATCTGTGTTGTACGCCCATGTCCTGAGTCAGATTTTTTAGTTGTCACCAATATATTACATGTTCTAATTTAGTTTAATTGTGTTTTTTCTAATGCCTTTCTCTCCCATTGTCTCTTATAGTTCTGGATGTGCTGTGGCTGAGAACCTTTGTGTTTGCAGTGGTATATGCTGCTGCAGATGGGTCCCTTGAGACCCCTCCTGAACTAGTGTTGATCACCATCCCTGTGAGTACATCCATATTCCACTGAATTCACCTAATCATATTTGAGTTATTGTCAGGTTCCACCCCTCCAGTCCTCAATGCTGTCGTACTTATCGCCTCAGGAGATAAATTTGGACATATATATTTTTGTGAAATTCACATAAATGTTTGGTAGAAGATATTTTTCTCATGACCACAGCAGCAAGGTGACGAAACAAATGTAGCATTAGCTGCTCTGCCAGATTATATATTGTAGCTTTGAAGGCCACGTTCTTTGTGGTGTGACCATATTTTTGTGTCGTAGCTCTGTAGTTACATAGAGGCTCCTACTGCTGCTCCCATACACCTCCTTATGTATTGTTATTTGATTAGGATGCTTTATGTACCTGAGCACTAAGCCACACAGGGTCACATAATATGAAAATTTAAATCACAGTTGGATGTCAGTGTACTTTACAGTATATGTAGTGGCATCATTTTCTCTGGTAAAATGATAAATTATTAAGCAGCTAAAATATGCCTCCACTGCACAGACGTTCCATCTTGTTAATGTAATGTTTTTGTTTGTTTTTTCGTAGAAGAAGGACGAGAAGGTGGAGACAAAGTATCTGAATTTCAGTGAAGTAGTGTTTGGCAGCTGCACTGAGCGACAACACCACTACTTCCTCAGCCATATAGAGGACTGGTAAGAATGATCATGATACACAGGCACAGAGTTTGTCCTAAGTTTGTTTTACTTTAATGACACGTTAAACTGGTGTAATGTTTTGCTTTGCTCCGTTGTTTATTTCATTCAGGGACCTCATGTTTGCGGCATCAGCAGCTGCCATTGAAGTCAGCGTCATAGCTGCCAGACAAGAGGACAAGGTACGTAATTAAGTGTAAAGCAGAAGATGTTGCAGAAATCATGAGTTCAAATGACACACAGTTTGGAATGTAGGTAGAATGAAAGGTCTCTCACTAAGATGGATTTCCATTTAACTTCCAGGAAAGAAATGAACTATGAGACTAATATAGTTTTAAAAGAAAAATATAACATAAAATTATGTCATGTATGTTTGGATGTGCTGAAGTTTTTCAACTACTGTATTAGGTCTCTATCCAAAACAAATAATGTCATCTCGGATCATTAGTGTTGAATTATACTTGATTTAATGAGAGCGACAACTGGTCACACTAAGTTCCAAAACTCAGTGTTATTTTACATAAAACACGATTTTTGTCTGATCATTTTATTTAGCTTTAATTTACACTTTGAATGCTTACTGTGTGGTGTGTGGAAAATACACCAAAAGTCTGGAGACTCTGATGACCACAACTGATTGTTGTTCTTTTTAGATCTGGGAACTTTGGGTCCTGGAGGATGCGAGTAGGGCTGAGCTTCCAGTCACCGACACAAATGAAGACACTCTGCCTCTTGGCTTAGCCATAGACTTTACCAGTCGGCAGGAGATCCATATCAGTAAGTGAATTTTGCTTTCTGTGTACTTTCTCTCCTCACCTGTCTGACCAGGTTTGCACATCTACACAATATCAGTGCACTTATCCTGTCGTTAGTTTCTTTTCATCAAAGCCAGCACTCAAATACCCCTTTTCCAACAAAATTAGTGCATGTACACAGGTTTTTTAAACACAGGGAAAACTGTTAAAAACATGCTCAAGAGTCCTTTCCTATTACCAGCGGACTAGAGCCATGTAGACGGCTCTGCAGCAAACACGCATGCCTTTCTGTTTTTTTTCTTATGGGTGTGTCACGTTTGACATCATGGACAGGTTAGAAAACAGGTTAGTAAACAGTAGAAAGCAGCATGGAGGTCAGTGAAAACGTTACCATGGTTACTTCTTTTTATATCTCGTACTTATACAGTCTCTCTTTCAAACTCGGTGCAGACTAACAATGTTTTAGCGCTGCTTGGGTGGAGACAGATGGTATTTTGTGATGGTGCATCATCGCATCTCGTAAAGGGGTTAAAATTAGCACGTTCAATGGGGTGTTGTATTTCCATTACTGCCTGTTGGAGCCAGAGCCGATAAATATTTGACCAGGGTGTGAATGCCAGTTGTAACTTTTCCCATTACATACAAAAGCCAGATGTCAGCAGAGTGGGGAAAGGGGTTATAGATGACTCTCAGTTGGCTAATTAACATCAATTTTGGAGCCCAGTTAAGTCTGTTATAGCACTTCAAAGCAAAAAAAGTTAGGCTATACTTTCTTAAAGGTTAATTTGGGGATTTTTATGGGAGTTATAAGATTTTCAAAGAATTTTGTCAAAGGTCAGATGCTGTTATCACAATTATTTTGTTTTAATCAACCTTGTTGTGGTGGGAGAATTCTTATATCGATGGAAGCTCTGCCAGGAAACCAGTTTAAAAAAAAAAAAAGGTTGGCCCAGCGCTGATACCAGTGTTGGCTTAGTAGGATTTATGTTTGTATTTATGTTCTAAGCCAACACAGGCACTACCATCAGGTTATTTATTTGTGACCAGTTTCTGAATTAAAGTTTTTTTTTTAATGTATTATATCCCATTTTTTACTGTTCTCCATTACAGTATAAAATCATATACAGAATATGTTTTCAACCATATTCTCTGCTATAATGAAGCTGATATCACTACATCAGTAGTCAACATATGTTAAATTTGAGCTTTCTAACTTGCAATTTCTGTTTGTTTTTTGTACATCACTTACATTTTCACAGTGTTAATATAGTTATAAATGATATTGCACTTCTGCAGTGAAGCTGAGTGAGTTTTTTCAGAAAGTACTTAAAGACAGTATAGACGGTGTGGAGAGAATTGAAGCAGTTTAGGCAGGTTTGTACACCATCTGCCACAGGCGTTACCGCCCACCCTGATAAGCCTGTTTTAATGAAGTATTTCACACTGTAGCGGCAGGTACGATATGTTTTACTGGATTTAAAAAACTTCAAAGCACCGAGGCTTTCCCCATTTGTGTTCTCTGATTCCTACAAACTAATGACTTCTGTGGTATTAGGTTATTCGTAGGCATATTTAAGAATCGAGGAGGTTTGTGTCATGTTAAAGTTAACTTAAATTTCGTAATAGTTGGTGTTATCTCTCAAACTGCATTCTGTTGTCTTTGTTTAAGCTCCTAAACATGTTATGTCTAACACCCCCCTAATGATCAGATGAAGCTGAAATCTGTCAGGTTTCTTTGTGCATACAGCATCCACTGCAGTGCTCTATCGCAGCATGTGTAAAGAATAGTGATAAGCTACCGTCTCAGTGCACTGTTTTATCTTAAATGGCCCAGTCTGCCAGACATTCACGTAGAGCTGCTGTTGCTGTCTAGTCACATCTCTCCCCGCTCACTCCAAGAACTCCCTCCCCAGCAAGGGGAAAAAAAACCCTGCAATTTGAGCAACATTTTTTGACATGATTGTAGTCTGATCAAAACCTTTATCCGAAGTGAGACATTAGATAGGGAAAGCAAAGGGAGAGTAACAAGAGTTATCTGTGGAGAAAAAATGCACTCATTAAAATGGCTCAGACAAGCTAGAGGACCACAACAAACAACAAAGCCCAGACAATCCTGTTGCAGAATGCTGATGAGGTTTTACCGTGTGCTTCTCCCTTCTGTTCACTCTTCCACCCGTTTTGCTTCTCGCTACCTTTCAACTATAGTTTCATAACTGAGATTAAACTAAACATTACATGCTGTATTTTAGTTTCTGTTCTCTGCGTTTTGTGCTTATTTCGTGGAGAACTTTATTTCTTAAAATATAATACTTGCCATTTTCTGCTTGCTTGAATATCTGTATATTTTATATGTAAATGTATTTGTGTGTGTGGGTGTATGTGTCTGTAGATACAGCTGTGTATCTATGCAGACAATAAAACACTAATATACATTTACAATGTCAAAAGCATCCGTGCAGTACGTGAAATGAATATACAGTAGATGCAAAATATAGGAGAGGTGAGTCAGTGGTAATTAATCAAACACAGCTTCTGCTGTCATCCGCTGATGACAGTGAAAGTTATGCTTGAGGAATAGCTTTAGATATGAGACAGCTGTAAAGAGAACAAAGAGGACACAGTGTACTTTTTTGACGTATCCGAAATGACTCGTATCAACTCTGACTAATGCATCTTTAATTTAGGCAGTGAATGCTCAGTTTCATCATTTAAATGTTGGTTAAGACTGGTTTTTGCCGTTTTTGTCTGCAGCCCACAGCGCACTGCATGATTTTGGAGAGTGCAGGAAAGTGGGTGTGAAGAGCAGGGAAGAGTTTGGGGTTTTGGCAAGAAGAGGAATGCAGTGGACTGCGTTTTACCAAATGAGGCGTCTTAGGACAGTTGTGTCTGTGCACGACCACAGTGTGCCTTTTTGAACTGAACACTGGGTACTTATTTAAACCACTGGGGGGCAGAATGAGAAATGGTCAGTGAGATAAGTACAGCACTAACATACAGTCTCTGTGCTCAAATGCCATCAATACTTTTACACCGTCACAGTATAAAGTGGGAAACAACATTTTCTCATCATGAACATAGCAAGCATGCTGAGAACACAACACTTGCTGTTAATCATTTGTCATGTGCAGTGGTGTGAGTTGGAAGCACAAAGCTGTGAAGAACGCTAAATAATTGTTTTACAAATGTCTGCTACTGTGCGATGTAGATTGCACATGAATGTGGCTCTCAGTTAATAGCGTTTATACAAAGCTCCAAGAGAATCTTCTTGGCTCTCTGATCTGTGGAAGGTTGCAAAATGTGTAAGAGGAAATGGACTCCGTGTGTGTGGGAGAGTGAGAAAGTTTGACTGGAGAGTTATGTGTTTGGTATTTTTCTGTGAAATTATAGTAAACATATTTTTGAGTCTTTTACTGCATATCATGATGACAGTATTTCTCTGCCTGAATGTCTGAATCCCATCTTTCCCCCTCCTCTCAAAGCTGATGAGAAGACCTTGCCCCCAGCGCCGGTTATGCTGATGCTGTCCACGGAGGGATTACTCTGTCCGTTTGCTTTGCTCAACCTCAACCCTGGGGTGAAGCAGCTGGTCTCAGCCCCCGCTGTCCTCGCCTTGGAGGGGGAGAGACCACCCAAACCAAGTAAGAGAGCCAGCAAACTTAACAGATGTTTTAAAATGTTGTTGGGCTGCACAATTATTCATCATCACACATTGCAGTGGCACATTTCCTCAAGTGATAATCATCTAATGCAGTGATACCAAAGTGTTGGTGAGATTTTCCTTTTCCTGGTGTGATGCCAGCATAGGCTGTTGACAGACATGGACATATTATCCGACGCGTCACCCATTGCTTTCTAAGGCGCCAGTCACATCCCGCATTACTCGTGCCTTCTATTGTTGTCAATGTAGACATGCAGAAGGCGTGCTCAGAAGCGAGAGTGACACTGTTGTGGTGTGCAAGCATTTCCAAGCACCTATTTTTTAAGGGTAACGGCCGTGATATAAACAAAGTTCAACTATGCTGGTATTAGGTGATTATTGTAGTGTATGGCTATCCAGAGCTTTACGATCTTTCCCACGGACAATATTTTAACACCCACACACTTTAAAAAAAAAATGCATGGAAGAAGATCAGCTCTAAATCGGCATTTCTGGTAAGTAGGTTATGGTCGCTCAGCAACATCAGGCACAACCTGCCTCCATGCCCTTTGAGGTTGGCACAAGAGTAGCACCCAGGGCTGACCTTGCATCTTCTAGGCATTAAGACACACCATGTTTATCAGCCCTAAAGAGGCATTTTTAAGAGTGGAGTTTGGTATCACAGCTCAGTTTAACAGCCTGAGAGCCTGTCAGTCAAACAAATGCACATCTAAATAAATAAACCCCTCATTAAACTTATCTCGGTGTCTTTAAGGAATAAGGCTTTTAGTCTGAGTAAAATTTAGTTCTTAAACTTAATTACCAAAACACCAATGACGTTTTGTGGTCTTATCAAACTTAACTTCATCAAAGAGGGCCTTCAAAGTTTTAGGTTGTGTTTAAGTGTAGTGGTGATAAGAGCAGTGGAAAACGTTTTGTTAATTGCAGTATTGTAAGACAATTACGCCAGGGCCACACCGCCCGCGGAAGCGCCGCCAATAGCCTCGAAGCGCCAAGGAGTGAAGCCAGTTTCCACACTGGCCGCGCCGTGCCGGGAAGCTCCGCAGAAGGCTCGCGATTTGCAGCGATCAGTTCGGCGTCTGGTCTATTTTCTGTGCGAGCCGCGAGTGAATGTGTCAAGTCGGGCAGGAAGTCAAACAAAGTAACAACAACAGCATCCGGTCAATTTTCAGAATAAAACAAATTTCAAAATAAAACACCCCGTTTGACAAATGCGATGTGTATATATATGTCTGTGTGTTAATATACATATTAGTCAGTGGTATCTAAACAGAGCGCGAGAGAGATGAAGACACACACACACACACACACACACAAAAGAGAGAGAGAGAGACAGAGACACACACAGAGTGGGCCGGCTATAGGTGGTGGGGGTGGGGGCACACACACGCAAACAGAAGGCCCGTTTCCACTGAAGAAGTTCCTGGTACTATTTGGGGGGCAGGAACTACTACAGGAACATCCTCTCACTCGGCCCTCTCAACCGCCGTGTCTCCACTGAGAGCGGAGTACGAGGAAGGTTCCTGTAAAGTTACGGGCTCTGGATGTGACGTAATCGTTGCGCGACCATTTACCGGGGCGACGTAGGGACGCTGTTAGCTGTTAGCCCTTAGCGGTGTCTGTAATAACTCACTAAATGGCCCTTAAAAAAAATTTTTTTTTTTCCAGCGGATGTCTTAGTTACAACATGATTGAGCTAACTGGAGTAGTTTCATGTCGTATCCGACAACAGGAGGCTTTTAACAGATGACGTCCTGATGTTAGCTTTGCTGCTGTTAGCTGTCCCTGTCAGCAGCAGCCACTGATGCTTTCTAGACATCGTGATTTCCCAAAACTGAATACATACCACACATAGCAACACAAAACTGCTTTGCTAGCTCAATCATGTTGTGACTAAGATATCCGCTGGAAAGAATATTTTTTTCACGAGCCATTTAGTGAGTTTTTTTTTACATGGCGGAGGAAGCTATATGAACGAGCTAACCCTCGTCTGCTGAGTTTTAAAAATGCCGGCTATTTTGTTGCTTTCTGTTGACATCACATCCCTCCTTGAGTATATCCAATCAGCACCAAGTAAATCCCAAGCCCCAGCCAGGAGTCTTTCGGGGCCTTTCTGAGTACCTACTCCGAGACAGGGACTTGTTTAGCCCCCGTAAAAGTTCCGGAACTCTGTCCTTCGGGGGTGGTTCCTGTGGTGGAGACACGCACCAACGGCCCCGGCCCCGTAACATTACCCCGAAGTTCCTGCGGTGGAAACGGGCCTAGAGAGAGGGAGAGGGGCAGAGACACCAAAACCAGCGGAGTTGTTGAAGATGGACGACGTGAAGTTGATTGTGGAAGTGGAGAAGTACAGGGAGTTGTATGACCCCCCAGCACCCATTCTACAAGGACAATAGTAAGTAAGATAAATGTTCTGATGCTGTTGCCATAGCTATTGGATCAACAAGTAAGTATATTGTTTGAATCAATCAGTCTACCACAACTTCAGTGCATTTTCTAGTGTCCCAATGTCCCACAGAAGATTTTTTTGTAGTAGGCTATAGTCTGAAATATATGGCCTCAGTAGCATAGATTAAGAAATATAATCAACACTGTGATAAAATTTAAACCACTTACAGTACAGAGGCCCCCAGGGTCCTTCAGCCATTTTACCTGTTGCAAGGAAAACTGTCCTCAGCCATTTTCTCTCCCTCCCCCAGCTCCATTTCCAAAGGAGACATGTTTTCACTTCTCACTTAAGAGCACAATGCCCAAATCCAGAGAAAAATCATTTAATGTTGTATTTACTGTAATGTCATAACAGCAAAAACTTGTATTATCACATTGTGAAATCATATTTGCATGCAGGCTATTTTTTTAAAGACTTTGTTAGTTATGCTTATTGTTAACATTAAGTACTTCAGTAATATAGCTGTCAATATAGCTACTGGTGTGAAGGCAATTATTGCTTTTGTGTAGGCCTCGAAATCAACAACAATACTGACATCAAGCTCATTTGGAAAAGGCATTATATAAGTGTTGTCATGTATGGCAGATTGTGGTGTAATTGCAACTACTTACTTACTCATGTAATTACAACTTTGGCCAGTATTTCCTCCCATAATGTAAACAGCTCATGTGCACCTATTTACACCTTTGGGTCATAATATCCTACAAAATGTCCTCTATACTAGGGCATTAACGACTTATCTGTCAATAAAGTTGAAGTCGAGTCGACAAGTCATTTGATGACGTCATCACATTGACACGGCGGAGGAAAGTGAAGTATCTCCACACATGTGATGTGTGTCTGTCAAGGCCCGAACATACTCGGGTGGGATGTACGCAGAACGGACTCTGCGGAGGTCCGCGCGGACTCAAAGCGGACGTCCGCAAGCCCTGTGCGCGCAAAGCTCAGATTTTATGACCGCGCGGACTCTGCTCCACGCACCAGTGACTGCTCGGCATGTATTTTTCACATCACAGGGATTTTTCCCCGCATTTTTACAGGAAAGTACAACGCGGAATTGCACTAGACTATGAAAGCCCGAATGACTGAAGTCTGCTCCGCTTATAGTACGCCTGAGTATGTTCAAGGATAAAGAATCAGTGTAAGCCAATCAGAGGCAGCGATTGCATTCCGTACACAAGCACACAGAGAGAGAGAGAGGGAAAAAACACACGACTTGTCGACTCCTCCCGGGGGGTGTCGACTTGTGCCACTGACGTCAACAAATCGACATTTTTGTTAATGCCCTACTCTATACTGATAGTGATGATAAGTATGTAAAAAAAATCATATTGAAGCAATGCCTAAATAGTATTCCTATTTGTAGAAGAGGTTTAATGATGACAGTGTCCTTGAAATAATGACTAGTAAATGGATTTTCATTCAAATTTATTTTAAAACACACAATAAACAGAACAGAATGACCAAAATGTAATATACACAATGAGTCCAACATCTATTATGTCCACTTACTCCAACTTTATATACATGTAGCTGGGCATATAGCTGTAGCTATCCCTCTACAGCATCTGGTCATGCCAGGGCACACTGCCCTCAGGGGAGATAAAGAATGCACTAGCTTTCTCACGTCATATGCATCCTCTGTTGCCACCCATGTTTCTGGCATCCCGTAGGCATTCCCCTCGCTCTTCTGCCTCGTCCAACCACCTCTGATTCTCAGCTGGGTTGAGCAGGTAGTTGTGGAGAATGCACACAGCCATCACAACGGCGTCCGCATTTTCTGGCTTCATAGAGATGCGCGTGTTCAGCACTCTCGCTGCCAGAATGCCAAAGGCGCATTTCACAACCATTCTGGCCCTGGACAGTCTGTAATTAAAAACCTTCTTCCATCGTCCAAGGCGTTGTCCAGGGAATGGCCTCATTAGGTATGTCTTCAGTGGGAAAGCAGTATCTCCCACCATGGTGTATGGCATTGGCCCTTGGTGGCCCGATCCTGGTAGCAGACAGTCTGCAGGAACCTGCAGAGTCTTAGTCTCCATGCCGATTCCCAAGTCAGAGCCACTATATACACCTCCATCACTTGCTCTTCCAAAGTCCCCCACCTGGATGTTGATGAAACGGTAGTCAGCATCCACCAGCGCCAACAGAATGATGGAGAACGTCTTCTTGTAATTAAAGTACAAGCTTCCGGATTTGGGTGGCACCGTGATGTTAACGTGTTTACCATCAATGGCCCCAAGGCAGTTAGGAAAATTCCACTTCCTTCAGAAAGTGGAGGCAGTGTCTCTCCACATCTGCTCCGTGGGCCTGGGGAACTGGGATTCCACCATCCGCCTCTCTGTTGCCTGGCAGGTCATGTGTACTGAATTGGCCACAGTGCTTCTCCCTAATCTATATTGAAATGCCAGGCTGGCAAAGGTTTCACCTGTGCCAAGGAATCTGTGGAAATAGGAAAAAAAGTTATAAGTTAATTATCAATAATTTATAAATATTTAATACAGGGATAAAAACAAGAAAATATTGGTGCATGATAAAGTTGTGGAATGTACAGAAATAAGTATTACATGAATTTAAAACAGCTCCACAAACTTCAAGCCATGTTATTAATAGAAATGGCGTTATTATGTTAAAATAATATAAATAAATATGAAAAAAGGTGTATTGTGTTTTATTAATTCATGTTTGTTACTTTGTCACAGTGGAAGAATGCAAGCGGAGATGGAAACAACTGCAGGACAGTTTTGTGAAAAACAAAAACAAGACTGTACCGAGTGGGTCCGCTGGTGGCAGTCAAAAGGACTGGAAATACAGCAATAATATGTCTTTCTTACTGCCACACTTGCAGCCCAGAAGGTTAGTAGTTTCTAAATGTAATAGTGCCGTTTAATAGACATCTTTTTAAATATAGTCAAAACTATCCATATAACATATCGCATATATTTGACACAATTTCATAATTTTGTTGTATCCCATATTTTATAACAAATTATTTTCTTTTCTTTTTAAGCTCTAAAAGTACTCTCCGGCCTATAGATCTGTGCGAAGACACACCCGCAGAGCTCATGTGTGAGGAAGATGACTTGACAGCTGGACCATCTGGACTGCCTTCAAGGCCTGGCACACCAGCCACTCCCACACTGAGGTCCACATCCTCTTCTCCACATCCCACAGATGTAGGACTGAGGTCTACCCATCAGCTCTCAGAATTACCAAGGTCTGCCACCCCCCCAACACACCCTAGAATGCAGGCCTTGTCATCGGGGGCTGAAACTCATACCACACAACCTGGCAGAAAGAAAAGGAAGGGATCCACAACTGCAGGGCCTTTAGAGCCAGACCTGCTAGATATTCTGACAACAGAAGAAACCCCTGTACCACTACATGTCCCAAAAGATGAGGAGGAAATGTACTTTTTCGCCCTCAGCCTTGTCCCCAGGTTGAACCGACTGCCCCGTAGCACTCAGGCACGTGCACAAATCCACATCCTACAGTACCTTACAGACTTGGAAAAAGAGGAACAAGATAAGCTCACCCAAGCTTCTCCATCGGTCACCAGACCAACCCCACTACATTGGCAGCAGACAACACAGCCACAAAGCTCAGGTTTTCAGGGGTACTCATCAACTTCGAATTATCAGCAAGGTCACACCCCACCCCTGACTACATACCAAGGACCTGCACAACCCCCGTCACAGTATCAACAAGGTCCACCCCGACAACATATCAACAAGCTGCACAACCCCCAGTGTCCCACCACCAGCAGGGACAATACCATGCAATGCAAACACAGAGCCAACATGGGGGTGTGAAGAGGTCTGGGTCAATGCTGGAAGAGCTGGAAGACCCCCCCCCCAAAAAAAAAAATCATTCCACCATTTTGAGTAATGGAGGAAAAATACAACACTTGAGCCTATGTAAATAAATATTTGCTGTTGTTTATATTTACTCTAATTAAACACTTTGTTGTTTAAATTTGTGATGATTTAAATAAGAGGTTCTTATTTTGTTTCTATTTTTTTTTTTCCAAATATTGTGTGTAGGTTTTAGATTGTAGTTTCTACAAGTTTTGTACATTTCTTCATTGTTAATAAATGTCTGACACTATACACTGTGCTGAAAACGAACATTTCTTTGTTATCCTGGTTTAGCATGAGTCATTATCAGTCATAATAATTATTACCTCAGTGTAACTGCAAGCCGTTGTTTTGCTTGGATGGGTTGGCGCAAGTATGTTGTCTGTGTAGTCAGATCTGGGCCAATCAAAGACAGTAGATGAGCCATCTGTTCCGTAGACATTCTGAAATATTTCAGATGGCGATTATTTACTTACCCATGATGGAAAAACAGCCCCAAATGTGAATGAGACAACAGCTGGGAGCAGAAGCGCTTGTCGACCGGCGCGGAGAAATGCGCGTCTGATGTGAACGGAAATGCTCTGGCTCGCGCGAGAATTTCGGTGCGCTGCGCTTCGCAGCACTTCCACAGGCGGTGTGGCCCTGACGTTATAAGTATAATCAGACATTTTTGAAAGCAAAATGTTATTCAAGAATGCTGACATTTGTTCTATGCTCTTTTTCTGTTTCTGGAATGTTGTAAAGTGTTTTGTAATCTAATATTTTTTTCATTTTATATTCACTAACATTTGTTGAATGAGGCCAGTTGTTTTGGTGATGTGGAGATCTTTGATTAGACTGTGAAGTGGTTACTTTTCTGTGAAGCTAGACATCATTGTTTTTACACAGCGGACCTCTTCGAGGCTTGACAGCTTTAGTGCAAACTCCTTTGAAGTCTGACAGAAATACTGCTGCGAGCATCCCAGCTATGAAAAATCTGGGCTTGTTCTCTCCGAGGCTAATCCAGTTGTTTTACAATGAGCAACCTTTGTTTTTAGACACACATGTGATTAGATCAAATGAAAGCAAATTTATTTTCTGTTCACAGGTTCTTTGGCAACCCAGCCACCCAAAATCGCTGCCTCCATCCCATCTGCCCCAGCAGCATTCCCAAACCTCAGTCTCACTTCAGCAGCTGCTTCCACTCCTCCAGCCCCTGCTGCCTCTTCAGCCGCTGCCCCATTCAGCATTGTCCCCGCAGCCCCTGTGTCGGCAGCAGTGTCATCATCAGGCTTCAGCTTCTCGGTCCCAACTACATGCGCCACCGCTGCCCCTTCAGCTTTCTCCCTGGGCGCACCCATATCTTTTGGCTCAACATCCTCAAGCTTCTCGTTTGGTTCCAAACCTCCCTCTGACACACCCTCAGCACCTTCAGCGTTTTCTTTCACGCCTTCCATTAAACCATCAGCAGTGGCAGCTCCAGCTCTGACACCTCAGAACATCGCTACTGCCTCCCCACCAACAGTGAAACTCAATCTAAATGAGAGGTAAGTCATTATTTCTTAATCTGTCATTTATTGCTGTGTTTCAACTGAGACGTTAAGGGTTATAAACATGTAACCCCAACTCCAAAAAAGCTGTGATGCTGTGTAAAATAAAAGTAGAATGCAATGATTTGCAAATCCTTTAGCCTATAAAACACATATCAAACACAGATATATATTTTGCAAACTGATAAACTTAATTTGGTGCCTGCAGCGTGTTCCAAAAAAGTTGGGACAGGAGCATGTTTACCATTGTGTGACATCACCTTCTCTTTTAACAACGCTCAGTAGGCGTTTGCGAACTGTGGACACTAATTTTTGAAGTTTTGAAATTAAAGTTCTTCCCTATTTTTGCTTGATATAGTTATTTAAATCATCACCAGTCTGGGGTCTCTGTTGTCATATTGTGCGCTTCATAATGTGCCACACATTTTTAATGGGATACAGGTCTGGACTGCAGGCTAACTACCTGCGCTCTTTTACTACAAGGCCACAATGTTGTAACACAAGCAGAGTGCAGCTTGGTATTGCCTCGCTGGAAGAAGCAGATACACCTTCTAAAAAGACATTTTCTGAATGGCAGCATATGTTGCTCCAAAACCTGTATGTACCTTTCAGCATTCATGGTGCCATGCCGTGGGCACTAATACACGTCCGCACTGTCACAAATGCTGGCTTTTGAACTTTGTGCTGGATGGTCCTTCTCCTCTTTAGCCTGGAGGACACAGTGTCCATGATTTCCAAAAGCAATTTGAAATGTGGACATGTCAGACCACAACACACTTTTCCACTTTGTGTCACTCCATCTCAGATGAGCTCAGGCCCAGAGAAGTTGGCGACGTTTCTGGATGTTGTTGATAAATGGTTTCCACTTTGCATGAAGAGTCTTAATTTGCATTTGCACATGTAGCAACGAACTGTGTTTACCAACACAGGTTTTCCAAAGTGTTCCTGAGCCTGTGTAGTAATATCCTTTTATAGAGTCATGTTGGTTTTTAATGCAGTCTAAGGGGATTGAAGGTCAGGGACATTCATCATTGGTTTTCAGCCTTGCCCTTTACGTGCAAAGAAATCTCTGAATCCCTAAATTCTTTGCAACTGTGTTATTAGAAACATTCTTTAACTCTTGGACTATTTGCCCACATAGTTTATCACCAAGTGATGAACCTCGCATGGTCCTTGTTTGTGAACAACTGAGCCTTTGGAGGATTCCCCTTTACTGTCACCTGTAACCAATTCACTTGTTTACTGGTGAAATGTTTCAAACAGGTGTTTTTTAGCATTCCACAACTTCTCCAGTCTTTTCTTGCCCCAGTTCCAACTTTTTTGGAACATTTTGCAGCCATGAAATTCCAGATTAGTGTATTTTCACACAAAAAAGAAAAAAACAATCAAGTTTATCAGTTTGGACATTAAGTATCTTGTCTTTGAACTGCATTCAGTTGAATATTGGTGGAAATGAATTTGCAAATAATTGTATTGTGTTTTTATGTACGTTCGCACAACGTTTTTAGAATCAGGGTTGTTAATACAAATGCCTAAAAATTCTGTTCCTTCCCCAAGGTTTTCAGCAGTGGAGACCCCTGCTCCATCCCCACAGTCTGTCTCCTTTAGTGCCTCGCTGCCCAAAACAGTTGTCTCCAATTCCAGTAGTTTCACTGCACCTCCACTTTCAGTCACTAAGCCACCACCTGTATTGGGTAAGCCTGCCTCTGTCCCTTCACTTACATGCTTTGCACAAGTTCATTATTGTGACTTTATTTTTTATCAAAGACTTATTTCTTGGCTCGGGTTGTGATTTTAAAGTTGTTTGATTGTTTCTCAGCCCCAGTGCGTCCAGTTCAAACCAGCACACCGCCCACAGTTGTCCAGAAACCTGCTCCTGCTGCCCAGAGCCATGTCCAAACTCCACAGGTCCTGACTGTTTATTATGAGGGATTTGTTTTCTGTTCATGTATTAACCAGATGTATTTTAATAGATTTCAAGTCAAAAGATAAACATATCCACCATAGGAGTCTCCATTAGTGCACTCAACTTCATCTAGATTTTTAAGAACCATAGAAATATTTAGTAAGATTATTTGTACACTCTTTTTTCCCCTTCATTTTTAACCCTTTCCATGCAACTTAATATTAAATATTTCATGTGGAGAATACCACTGTTAAATGGGTAAATATAATTGCCTTGCGTTCACTCTGTGTGAAGGTACACAGTTTTGTGTGTTGTTGCCATGATTGTTTGCAGTGAGCTGAACACACTTCCAACAAAGGTTCAAGACAGCAGTTGTCCTTCAAAGTTTTTAAAGGAAGCAATTTACCCTTTGTTAAGCTGAAAAGCACTTTCAGAGAGAAGCAGACAGAGTGGTCTACAATATGTGTTTGAAGGATCTATTCAGGATATCAAGCTTGCTTGGCAGGAAAAACAGATTAAAAAGATTAAGATAGTTTGAAGCTAAAGCCGAACTATAGGTTATGGATGACTGTAAACGTGAACCACCACGTCACTAGCGACTGAGACAGAAGACAATGAATTTAAAGGGAAACTTTGCCGATATTCAGCCAGCTGAGGGTCGTTACAGTGTGTGCAGATGAACAGTGTTTGGCTCCTCCCCAGGCCACTGCCAGTGCTCAGACCTCCGCCACCTTACGGGTGGGAATATTAAGGGGAAGCTAAACAACATTCATCAGCACACAATGTGATGACACACAGCTGGTTGAATATCAGCAAAGTTTTCCTGTTTCCCTTCACTGGTTCCTGTACAGCAGGGTCATTTTTTTCACTGTTATACTCATTAAAAATCAAAAGTAGCATGTGTATACATTCAGTAGGCGATATCTTCAGTAGTTAGCTAGCTACTTAGCCCTGCACTTTGATTTTGGTTTTGGAAGGGGGAGGAAACATGTATCTCTTTTCAACTTCTCCAGGCAAGGAGTATCCTTATTATTTATGCCCCAGGCGCAAAATTTAGCTCAAAATCCACAAAAGCTGCCTGGAAATGAAGGAAATCGAAAATGATAACATGACGGTCTATGGCGCATAGCCATGTTGTTGTCAGACTGTTGTAGGAGCTGGCCACTGTCATGCTATAATTAGCCTATCTGCATTTGAGGGGTGGGACTCAGTGAATGGTCAATTGTTATTAGACAAGAGTCAGACCACAGTTATTATTAAAACGCCATTGTACCTCACTGTATTAAGAAACAGTGTATTCCCAGTGAAAGAGCAACATTCAGCTCCTGTAGGGGGTACACTACAGTAAACACCCAGTCCACTAGAGTAAAAGTAAAAAAGTAAAATACATAATATCACCTTTTAGCTCAAAAGTAACTTAAATTGTTACATTAGCAACACATTAGCTTCAAAGCGCTAGTATAATGGCTAGCTTTGTAAGCACCAAGCAGTAAACTGATCACAGAAAAAACAAATTAACAATTGACAACTCAACAATCATAGAACAGCTATGGAAAAAAAGAGTACCTAATGATAACAATGCCATATATGGAGTCGATAAAATATGCAGTATTTGCACTGAAACACATCTCAAAAAATAGTGGATCTAGAAACAATGTCAATGCTGCTGCTATTGAACTGTACTGGTGGCGGTTGCCACTAGCAACTGCAAGCTCAACTGAAACCAACTGCCGAGGAAAATATTTTAGTTAGTTTACAAACATTTTTGCTGTATTTTTTCTCAAACTTATGTTGGTTGCATGTGTTTCTTACACTATGTGTTTCTTACCTAACTGTAGGTTTTGATGTACTTTATAATTTCTCAATGCAGGCAGCTGTTAGCGTGAAGGCCCTGGAGAAGCAGCTACAGCAGAAGAAAGACACTGATCCCATCATGGCTGGTATATTGGAGGAGGTGAGATATATCATCCAGTCAACACCACTTTTCATTGGTGATCTTGTTAAAAAAAAAGGGTAGAGTATCTTTGGCTGAACTATATGCAGGGGAAATGCTATAATGCTAGCTACATACTGTTAGCTAACTGATAGAACTGATGTTAGCTTGCTAATATAGCTGTTTCACAGAAAAGTACAATGTAGCTCAAGTTTTAAAATGTGATGCTAATAACGTCAGACTAAATGCCACATTAATGTTTGTGTGGATAGCTTAATTGGCTATATCCTTCTCACTCTTAACTGCATAAACACTACCTACTCACATAAGGCAAAAACTTAGTGAAACATAACTGGTGCAGCTCAGTCCTGGTCACGGTTAAGATAACATGTCATATACACCCAGTGTTGAAATAATTACACATTTTGTTTTGTAACTAAGCATGTCTCTGACTTGTCATCAGATCGCACACTTCCAGAAGGAGTTAGATGACCTGAAGGCACGAAGTGCAAAAGCTGACTTCAAGGTTGGCACCAATGAGGAGATGAAGGAGCTGAGGAAGGAGTCAGAGGACCTCCATATTTTCACCCTGGAGATCAAGGAAACTACAGAGGTGAGACCACGGTTGGAAAACTAAAACATGTTCAAATATTGCTCTGGCTAACCCAAGCTAAATCACACTCATCAGCTAAATCCTATATATAATATATAATATATAATATATATAATATATAATAGCCCCTGGGTATTATATAGGTTAGCGCACAAAAAGAAAATATTGAAAGTACATATCCAAATTTTGTCTAATTTCCCTTTTTAACTTTTGATGTTGAAAAGTGCCCCAGACATACTTTATACAGCCTTAAATACTCCACTCTTCAAAGTATATGTTGACTTGTATGACTTGTCAGTAGTATACACCAGTGTTTCCCAAATGGGTGTATACATACCCCTATGAGTGCTTTGGAGTACTGCAAGAGGTATGTGAGATTTTTTTAGATGTTCATTTAAAAAATATCATTAATGGTTCCTAAAATACACAGCAATTGTGCTGTAGGGCCACTATGAAGTCTCTACTTTATGCCACCTTTGCATTTTTATGCAAATGACACATTCAAAACGTCATGCCCGTCCTGTCCATGGCCGCGTCCTGCTGGTTGTCCCTTTTACACAGACATGGATTTGATGCTGTTACTATCTCCCCTGCTTTTTGGTTTGCCATGAATTTGGTGATAGATTATTAACATTTGAAATGTAGCATTTCAGTGTTTTTCAGTTACAAGGTTGTTGTGACTAATGGCACAGCGCTGTATTGTACCTCTGTAGACAGGCTTTTTCCCACCCAGAATGTTTGTTCCTGGTCAGGGGTGCTTTGCTGAAAAAAATATTTTGAAAAGGGTGCATCATTAAAAAAAGTTTAACAACCACTGGTATGTACCATAAACAAACAAACCTTTTTAGACTTACTGGTATTGCCCAGACATTAAAGTTAGGGAAAACAGCAGCATTCCTGGACACAAAAGCAGCAAAATAATCACTTCCACTCAACATTGTCATAAAGTTTTATTTTTTCTTTTTTAATTTAGTGTAGTCGTTGTCAACTTGTTTATTTCTCTTCCTGATTTGTAGTCTCTCCATGGGGACATTGGTACACTGAAGACCACCTTACTGGAGGGCTTTGCTGGAGCAGAGGAAGCCAAGGCCCAGAGTGAGCTGAGCAGAGACAGAAATTACAGACAGCTGCTGTACAAAAAACCCCTGGACCCCCGCAGCGAGGAACAGCTCAAGGTGAAATGTTTGCATGAATGGATACTTTTCACAAAGACTTTAAATAAGCCACCCAGATATTTATAGCAATGTGTTGATTCTATGATTTTTGTCCTTCTTCAGGAGATTCGCAGGCTGTACCAGTACGTTATGTTTGCTGTGGAGGACGTCAATGACGTGCTGGATGTGGAATGGGAGAAGCACCTGGAGAAGAAGAAAAAGCAGAAGTAAGAACAAAACACCACCTATTTGAGTATTTGATACTGAAAAGATTTGGGGTAAAATATCATTTGTCATGCAATTTTTCCTCTTCTTCACAGACACATGGTCGTGCCAGAGCGTGAGGGTCTGTTCACTACACTGGCCAACAACTTGTACATTATCAACCAGCAGAAGAACCGATTGGACCAGTTGATTAAGCAACTCACTTCCCTGCGCCTCTACAACAAGACGACCGCTCCAACTATAAGCTGCAGTCCTGCTACATCAACAACTGCTGGGTAGGAGCTGGCCAAGAACAAGGAGGGGTGGAGGAATGGGAAAATCTCAGGGATTTGAGTATTAGCTTCTGTAGATTTTGTTGTAAGAGAAAAGACTGCGGAGTAGGTTTGGAAATCAGAGACTTAATATTTCAAGTTAACCTTGACTGTTTGCAACTTTAACAACTTGTATTTGTGTTTTATGACAGTTTGGAAGGTGAGCTTGAAAGTTTAAGGGATGCACTCCTGAAAGCCAGGCTGGACACCAGCCCTCCTAAGACCAAAGCCAAATCTCCAGGTATCAGTCTTTATTTATTTTTTTAATAATAAAAAAAAAGAATAACACATTTCTTAATTTCAACACGTGATAACTATAAATGTTTCCCTCACAGTGAAGATATCACCAGTGAAACAGTCCCAGCTGCGTAACTTCCTCTCAAAGGGACAGATGCCCCCGGTCCGCTCAACTGCACCAGGTATCCTGCTCAAACTAAGTTTGGTTTACTGACAAGAACTTTGTGGTTATGTTAATATAACTATAATGCAGCTATTCCACAGTTATTGCTGATCTCAGTGTTCTTTATCTGTCTCTTCCAGCCAACCTGTCTCGCTCAGCCTTCCTTTCACCCAAATACTACGAGGACTTGGATGATGTAAGCTCTACGTCCTCCCTGTCCCAGTCCCTGGAGCCTCACCCAGCTGACTTGGAGCTGGAGGAGGAGGAACTACAGCCAGAACCCCTTCCCCTTACTGTCATTCCTCCAGCACTGTCCACCCCCCGCCACCCCACAGTTGTAAGGACCCCGTCTATCCAGCCAGGCTTCGGTGCCATCCAGTCCACCCCTTTAACAAAAATTCACTCAGTGCCAGGAATGGGCTTTGGACTCAGCCCTATTGCCAGCCCTGGTGAGTAAATCACATCAACAGTTGCTAAAGAGTTGTTTGGCATTCAAAGCCACAAGATGACTGCTTGTAAATGTCACATGTAGCACAGAGTGCAGCTGCTGAACACTAGTGGACATGCTTTGTTTCACATGCTTTGCATTTATATTTCAGTTCCAACCAATAAGATCAACCTCAGTGGGGCTGAGAGTACCGCTCTTGCTACAAAGACAGTAAAACATGGAGCCCCACCAACTGAGAGGAGCATCCCTGTCACCATCCCTGCCCAACAGGCTGCAGCCACTGCAGCTCTGCGCAGGCAGATGGCTAATCAGAAGACAGGTAGGAAGAACATGCAGCCCTCATGAACCTTTCATTGCAACTGAAATTAATTATTTATTCATTTATATATGGTATTAAAAGATGTATTCACTTGTTATGGGCAGCACTGTGTGTATAAGAAGAAACTGTTTGCATTATAGTCTATTGCAATGGCCACTGTAAGTCACCAGGGGGAGACATACACCAAACCAGTGGTTTTCAAACTTTTTGTGCCCAAGCTGAAATCTCAAGGCTCACCTGTATTTATATCTGTGCACAGCAGCCTCTATAACAGGTATCATGACTCTTATCACAACAAAAATATTTGTTTTTATTTATTAATATCAAATAACAGTTGACAATCAACTATTACTTGTGAAATTTTTATGAACAAAGTCATTCAAAAATCCATTTTAAACATTTTAAAATGCCATCAAAGCACCGATAACACACCCATTTAAACGCGAACGGTGACAAATAGGTTCCCTGTGAAGGTTTTTTAAGTTAAATTAAATAAAAATACATATTTTAGGTAGAATTTGCCTCTTTATTAGGAAATGGGTGCACACAGCATACTGATTCAGTCAAGTAAACATTCATTCATAACTTTTTGTATCAGCCCAGTTGAATATTGCAAAAATAATGTGTGGTTATCACAAAATCCCTCGGCACACCTGGATTGGCATCGGCACACCATTTGAGAACCACTGTTCCAGACCAAGTAATTTGAACCTGGTAGCTTTATGTCCGACCGCAGCGTGTGCTCCATCCTAACTGAGAATCACTTGCTAAACTGTTTCAATATAATTCAAACCAGGTTTAAATCACCATTGAAACATTACATTAATATGAATACACCTGCTTTAAATGCTCTTTTTTTGGTTAAATATAAGCATTGTACATCTCTGTATATGCTCACATATGCATTTGTGTGTGTTCCAGTTGTCGTCAGTGCTTCTTTAACGGAGTCCACTTTGAAGACTGTTCCTCAGGTGGTCAATGTCCAGGAGCTCAAGGACAAAGGGCCTCCTATGCCGATTGCCAATATCATGAGGTAAAATTTAAAAATGATACAGATTTCTTTTAAGCTGTGTAATAAAATGTCTGTAAGTAAATGACAGCTAGTGTGTAGTGTAAAGGCAGTTGAGGTTTTGGTCCAAGAATGAAGTAAAAACAGACTGTATATTGTATCAGGTTGTCAGTTAGATATCACTGTATGAAACCTAAAGGTTGCTCAGAGTGGATGACAATATGTAATCTGGTTCAGGAAACATGTAATGTAGCAGACACTGTTTGCATCCAGCATTACATCATTCATTTTATTGATTTAAATGTGGTATCACATTCCTTACTGCAGATTAGTGAAGAGATAAAAAAAAAATAGGACAACCACTTTTATTTCCAGACAGTTAAAGTCAGGAATATGTCCAAAGTTATAAAGCTATACAGAGAACTGGTACGTCATGAGGCCCTGGGAGGTTAATAGCACTGATTTAAGAAAGAAAACCTGCAGGCAGACACCACTATTTCTTAATCTTATTTTCTAGAATAACTGTCAATATTCACACAATATTTGTAGTTTGTAGGCACTCACTGGTGACACATTTTAGCTTTTTGCCCCTCAGTCATTGTCCGCCGCTGCAGATGTGCAGTTTGGTTATTACCAGAATACTTCAAAGCTTCAAAATGAATGTCCTAACTGGTTTTCATGCATTTCACTTTGAATTAGAGTGGAGTCTTTTTGTTACAGGTCACATTTGAATTGATATGGCAGATAATCTTAATTAGGATTTTGCAATTTCCCTTTTCCCTTCCCTTTTCACAAATTTCTCGTTGGCTTTAATAAAGTGCTTCTTAATCCATCTGTTTTATCTGTCTGATCTCTCCTATGTATTTCCCGTCTAATATTAAGCATCTTATGTAATATTTATAGCGTTAAATAATGCCTGTGTCCACATGGATTTATTTCAGAGACAGTGAGTAGACAGTCTGTCACTGTGAGTCCTCGAGGGGTCTGGTGTTTGTTTTGAGGGTGTCTCCCCGGCATAGATTTATCAGGTCACTGACTCCACCTTATCTTAGCCAGTGCACATGATGGGCAGAGGCCAGCACTTTCCTTTGGTTCCTCGAGTATTATTACATCTCTTCTATACACTCATCATACACATCTTTTTTTTTTTTTTTTTTTTGTTAAGCTTTTATTGTTCAGTTTATATTTCACGGTTTAATTTGAAAACCAATACGCTGGATAACTGAGCCAAAGCTAAGCAGTGTGAATACTTAGGCTGCACTGTATGCACACTATTTAATTGTCTCTTTCATACCATTATCCTCTTCACTTCGCTTTCTTCATGTCATTCATTTGGCTCTTTATTCACTCCATCATTCACGCTCTTGTTTTGCCCCTTCCAGTCTCCTGCACCTTACTCTTTCTGCCTCACTGGGCCGTGCTCCACTTTTGTGCTTGATATTTCAGCCAGCCATCCTTCCTCGGGGCTCTTCCTAAATAAAGCCTGCTCACAATAACAAACGAGCAAATCGAGGTATTGTGAGAGAAAGATGATTATTACCCGATTCTGTACTAACATACTCTTTATCTCACAGTACAGTAATGGATCAGACTTTTCTTCTAATGATTCCCAGCTCATTGTATTTTGTTTTACCAGAACAAAATCTCCAAATTCTCAAAAAATATATACTCCCAAGAATTTAAAATTCCACGTAGTGACAGATTATATAGAGAGATGATGAACTGTAATATTACATTTTTGTCCAGCCCTACACAAAGGAAATACTTGGTAGCAGTGACCAGGCTTTTGGTTGTGGCTCCCTCATTTTATTGAACATGAATCATAAGGTGTGTGTTGTGTTTGTTTCATGTGGACAAAATTAAAAACAAACACCTGAACACTCGATCCTCTTTCTTCTTCTCTCTTTTCCAGCTCATCAGTACCAGATCCAGCAGCTCCCATCTTCGCAGCAGTTTCTTCCAACCAGGCTAAACGAGTGAGTACTACATCTCTCCATCACTCACCAAGCTGTCACTCATCCTGCCATATGGCCGTACACCCACACAGCTATTTCACTGTATGACTATCATTCAAGTGGCATGCTATCCTGTAGTACTGTAGAAACAAAAATGTGATCACTTGATAACCTGTATTGGTTGAAATTTCCAGGTTTAAGGTTTGGATGATAAATGTCTTCAGTGTATTTGTTTTATCCATTTACATGCTGTTACTTAAATACTCAAAATCAAGTATTTTCAGTGTTAGTATCCCTTTCCATGCAATTTTAAACAACATTTAACTTGCAAGAATTCACATACTGCTGACAGTTTTGCGTGTGAACACAGACCGTAAACTGCACGGGTGAGAAATGTCCCAGGTCCCTCCAATGTTGATGTTACAAATTGCAGTTGGGTGACAGGGGAACTCCTCGCACACATCTCCGTCACTGTTTAGGTTCAAGTTCAATTTGATGGGAATGACCTGAACATGCTGATCTGTAGCCATGTGTGTGCACTTCACACTTGATGTTTTCAAAGTCTACCTTAAGATTGCAGCTCACAGCCTGAACTGTGACATACAGCAGTTGTTCAAAGGAACTTTAATAATTACTTTTTAATCTTACACACATAATGGATAGTTTCCTCTGTATTAAGGCTTTGCAGAATTAGGCTGTAATAGCAAATACCTTTTTAAAACTGTCTTTGCAGAATCCTGCCCAAGGTATCCAGAAGATGTCCAGTGAAAGTACACCCGTCCCACAGACAAGCTTCGTGTTTGGTAAGCATTGGTTAGATATACATACATACATGCATAAGCTTCCTCTTGCCTATTCCCCTGATTTGGGAACACATCAGGAAAATTGCAGACAAGAACATTGCTTATGATTCTTGACCATAGGTTTGCAAAATCCTTGCACCTCACGTCATTTTGATTGACATCATAACCTTCTGTCTTTCAGGTCAATCCGCCAAAACAGATGTTGCAGCAGTTCCTGTGAGCTCAGTAGAGCAAAGCGCCAGCAAAGGTTTCTCCTTTGTATCAGGGTCAGTCAACTTATGAAATTAAAGACGCATTCTGAAATAAAAAAGGCCTAACATCTTGATTTTATTTATCGTAAGACAAAGCAAACATTAAAAAAATAAATAAATAGAAATATTTTTGATGACTCATCCTGCACTTGAGGGTGTACACATCAATTAATTTATCCAATCAAATGTGATTTGGGGCAACCAACTAACACCTTCCATCTCATAATACTGCAATTGACCCTAACTATTGGAGCAACATCAGGGGCCAAAAGAGAGTTGTTAAGGCCTGATTCATTCATTTTCCCTTCTGCCCCTGACTCCTTATCTAACCACAGAGGTGTGGGAGGTGAGGGTGGAGGTGAGCAGTCACCTACAGCTTCATATCTGTGTGATTCTCTAGATACTCCAGCGATTTGATTAAAACCCTCTTGAAATGATGCCCTGCCCATGTAGTCTTTTTCACTCAGAAATTAGTTACCTTACAGAAGCTTAATCTGTTCTCACTGTTGTTTCATTGTGACTTAAATTTTGTTTTGCAGGTCCACAGGCTTCAGTTTTGCATCTGTCACACAGGGAGCTGGAATCTCACAAGGTGAAAATAATACAGCAACTTGGTAACAGATGTAAGATTTAAAATCTACATGCTGTCTTTATGTTGTCTTTTTCCCATTGTCTCTTTCCAGTGAAGGATGTGAGTAAATTCGCCTTTGGTGGAAATGGCAAGATGATGTTTGGCCAGACCGGAGAGGAGCCATTCTCCCTCACCCCACAGTCTACCTCCCCTGCTCTTGGCACTGCGTCTCCCACCCTGCCTTCAAACACAGCAGGAGAGAAACCAGCCCCTACCACAGCTCCCCTCAGGATAGAGCCACAGCCCATCAAGACAATAGGAGGAGAGACTCTGGGCGGTTTCTCTGGGCTCCGTGTGGGCCATGGAGAAGAAGCTAAAGATTCATCCAGCAGCAAACCCACTGCTGGCTCACTTACCTTTGGGGAAATGGGACTCAGTATAGGCAAGGGAGCAGTACAGTTTAGCTTTGGTGCAGGTCTCCAAAAGTCTACAGAAGATTCTGCAGGAGCAGACTTGTCCAAAGGAGCAGGGTCAGGCAGTTTGTTCAAGCCTCCAGAACCGAACCCCAAGCCGGCCTTCTCTGTCCCCCAGTCCAGCTCAGCTGCCTCAGCTTTACCTACGTCCTTTAGCAGTCTTCTTGCAGCTCCTGCAGACTCCACAGAGGAACCAAAAGTTTCCCCAGAACCTTCAGAACCCACACCACCCCCTGAGAAAGAACCTGTATCTGTACCAGATGCTGAGAGCACCAATCCCCTTGTAGTTCCTGAGCCCGCAGCGGATGCAGGCGTCACAGAAACCACAGCAACCACAGTAACAGCACCAACACCACCCTTGGCCACAACTGCCCCTACCCCAGAACCTCCCCCCTACATCTCCCCACCAACTGAAGCCACCTCTCCAACACCAGACAGTGCGGCCCCCACAGTAGAAGCAACCCCAGACAGTAGCACCACCACTGCATCTGCGCCTACATCAGCTGCTGCCACCCCTGCTGTAGCACCTGTCTCCCAGGTAGCTCCAACAGCCTTCCAGGTGCCCAGTTCTGACAAACCAGGTTCCATTTTCACTCAGCCTTCCCCTGCTACAACAGACAGCAGTTCTCTTGGAGTAACACCAGTTATCAGTACAGCCGCTGCTGCAACCACGACTCCCACCCCTGCTGTTGTTAACAGTACAACAACTACGGCTGCTAACGCTGTGTTTGGGCAACCTGCAGCACCTCCAGCTTCCACATCCCCTGCAACCCCCTCCGAGCCGTCAGCCCCTTCAGCGCCTTCAGCTACTTCAGCGCCTTCTGCCCCCTCAGCCCCTTCAGCCCCAGCTTCCACAGGATTTGGCTCAACCGCATTTGGTACATCAGCTGGAACTGGTTTCGGCAAATCTGTGTTTGGCCAGGTGAGCGGCTTTGGCCAGCCTGCCAGCAACACCTCAACAGCCAGCGGCTTTTCTTTTGGCCAGTCAGCTTTTGGTGCAAGTTCCAACAGCGCGACTACTGGAGGAGGTCTCTTTGGTGCCGCTACTGCTACCAACGCTAGTTCCTTCTCCTTTGGCACGAGCAGCGCCAACACAGCCAGCAGCACTGGCTCCGGGCTGTTTGGACAAACCACAGCACCAGCATTTGGCCAGAGCTCTGGGTTTGGACAAGGGTCTGTGTTTGGCAGCAACACCACCACATCCTCATCGGCAGGATTCAGCTTTGGACAGCCTGCAGGTGAGTGAGTCTGCACTTGATATCTTACTGCTCATTGGTACAATATGGTAAGAGTTTGTGGGTAGCTGTTTTATTTCTTCCCACTGAGTAATGTGTGTGGTATTATAGCTATAGAGATTGCGTATCTGCCAATGCTGAGTTTGATCCAGTGCGTATATTTACTCAAATGTTAAATAGGCTTATATATCTGAATTGTACTCAACACTTGGTACACCTGCAATGGTTCATGGTGTCACAGAGCAGAGCTTCTTCCCTCACCAAAGATCTTTGGCTAAGTACAGACAGCAGCTTGCAGAGGGTGCACAAACCAACCAACCGCAACACTAGCAGACTGAGGTGGACAACGACACAGTAGAGGATTTTTATTAGCTTCATTTTCGCCCATACCATTCTATTAAAATATGCCCAAATCGCCCTTCATACCCATCCTCAGCATCAGCTTAGCCCTTTTTACATTGATTGCTTTTTTGCCTTTCTCACTGTTGTTATATGGGCTTCTTTCCAACATGCACTTTTGCCAAGTGATTCTCATTTTTCTTGTATGTGCTACGGAATATGCAAATCATAGTTTCACGTTTACTTAATGGCCAGTGTTACACTGAACCTGACTGACCCAAGTCGTTACATTATTCCACCTCAGCACAGCATCTTCAGTTCACCAAATTCATATCGGAGGCCTGTGGCTATTTATGAATTAGAAAATGACACCTTCAGGCTTTCAAAGTAATGGGGTGCACAAGGTTCACAGTTTCAAACCAGTCAGCCGTAAAAAAAAAAAGAAAGAAAGAAAGAAAGAAAGAAAGAAAGACGACAAGTCAGCCAGAGATGTTGTTGTCACTCAGAAATTTACTAATCAGAACTACAGCTACAAATACTTGAGTCTTGTCCGACAGTGTTAAAGCTAACAACATCTGACAACCAGTTAATTGTATTAAATCTGTGAAGAGCAGTGGACATATAAAAGAGGCTGTGTGAAAGCATCAACCCATTCAGCTAATCACACTGCACATTTGTGGTGTTTGAAGTCAAATGTGACGCTTCTTTTGGTTGTAAGGCCTTCATGTTGCAGGGGATTGTGTCTGTATAGTAGTATACTGCCTGCCTGAGTGGGCTGCAGGTGTGGGACTGGCTGTGAGATTTGGGGTGGTGTGGCAATCTGAGTAAGTAGGGTGGCACGAGGGGTGTTGTCCCTTTCCCAAAGATTCTCTGAATTCCCAACACCATATGGGAATGTGTGTGTCTCTGTGGACAGCTGATGCTAATGTGTCAGCTCAGCAGTTTGACGCAGCTTGTCATCCCTGTGTGCAGATTTTAAGGGGGGGCAGAGGGTCCAGAGTTAGCTCATTCTGTTTTATGACAGTGGAAGAAAAGGAAGATATATAGTGATGACAAGAGCATATATGTGGCATCATCGGCTACTTGACATCTTAGTGCAGAGTTAACGCATAATGTCTCACTCTTTTCCCTCTCATTGCAGGTTTTGGCTGCTCTTCTGCCACCCCTGTGTTTGGCCAACAAGCTAGCAGTGGGAGTGTATTTGGACAGGTATTATTTTCTGTCTCCTTTTTTCTCAGAAAGATTTATTTTTTAATTGGTAGAGCAAGCTGTGTATAGTATTGTGTTATAGTAGAATAATACCCCAATCTTCTGGACACATTGTGTTTCTCCCTCAGCAGCAGCCATCATCAGGTGGGACTCTGTTTGGTACAAATGCAGCCAGCACAGCGGGCTCAGCTGCTGGTGGAGGGTTCTTCTCTGGCCTCGGAGGCAAACCAAGCGAAGATGCCGCCAACAAGAACCCGTTCGGCACCACTGCCACCACAGGAGGGTTTGGGCAGCCTGCTCAGACAGGTAGGCTTTTATTTTTATCCTAACTTTTGGTCACATACTGTTAAATAAGTGTTACACCTTTACCATACTGGAAAACAAATGGCAACTATACAAGAAACAAACCCCCATTTTCTTGACAGATACATTTATCTGCTTATTTCTCCTCTAGGTGCCACCAGTCTTTTTGGGAACAGTGGTGCCAAGACCTTTGGCTTTGGACAGTCCTCCTTTGGTGAGCAGAAACCCAGTGGGACCTTCAGTGCTGGTGCAGGGACTGTTGCATCCCAAGGATTTGGCTCCTTCTCAACTCCAACAAAAGCAGGTATACTGCTTTTTATTCTAAAAGCACTTTGGTTCTGCAGTCCTTACTGTCTTAGATACTTTCATGATGCTTGCGTCTATAGTGCTGACATTTTCAAAACAAGCGTATTTCCATGTGCTTTCATACATCCTTAGGGTGGGGATTATTTTTCTAATTAGAACTGAGCAAAGGGTCTAGCAAATGTAAATATTGGCATTATTAGATAATACATCATTCCATAATTCCCCGCTTACACATATTCACCTGATAGAGCTTCCATCTGTGATGTTTGATATTCTCTATTATGTCACATTTTTCGGAGGGCTTGGCGAAGGGGCTCTGGCTCAGTGATGTGCAAGTTTCAGTGATAATGAGATGGCTGTAATAGAAACCCTGGGCATCTATACGTAATCGCATTATACACATCAGCTGTCTCTTGACATTGCTTTCTCCTTTATCACCTGAGCTACAGCAAGTGCCCTTATCTCCTCGCCCCAGCAGAGCAGAAAGTGAGGTAGTCATGCTCCGTCATAACCTGCCAGAGTACTGCTGATGCAATGTTACCTCTCAACACCACCAGTCATAATGCATATGCATATTAGATACACTAAAAGATTTAAATTACATATTTGAACTATGTTATTTTGAAACTGTCATTTTAGTTGTGATACAACAAGTATATGCAGTAATAGTTTTGTATGCAGGATTTAATATCAGACAGGGCCGGGACACGTGCCACATCTTTTACAGCCTGGAAAACGCAAGGTCGGGCGTTTGGTGCCACTCTAATGCCTACTCTGTGCCAACTTTTAAAGGTGTGGAGGCAGGTTGCACCTTGCGTTGCTAAGCGACCATAACCTGCACTGCATCATAGCCTACTTACCAAAAATCCAGAGTTTGAAGCTGATCTTCTTCCAAGAGTGTTTTTTTTATTAATAGTATTTAAGTTTGTATGAAGCTTTAAATATTGTCCATGTGACAGTTGAGAAAGCTCTGGGAGAAAGGAAAGATTTCTGCCAGCTGTGACATGCAGTGTGCAGTGCTCAGTGCAGCCGTCGTGCCAGCTATGGCATCGCTCTCACTTTTGAGCGCGCACTCCACATGTTTACATTGACAACAATGGATTTGAGGGTGCAAAAAACACCATGTGTCAAGACGTGTGGTTCATTTGGGTTTCAGGCTCGCTGCTTTAAAAGTGCTGTGCTGATTCCCTCTTTGATAAACTTGTAAAAATAAGAAAGGACATTTAGCCTCCTCCTATACGCCCAGATTATTTAGCAGATTAACAATTTAGAATGGATCAAGTGCAAATTAAATTAGCTGCAGAGCAAGTTTAAGCATAAAGAATTAACTTAATTGCTTCTCAAATAGATTACTTAGTTTTCAAGATTAAATTGATTAATTTTTTATTTTTTTATTTTTTTCCTTTTCAAATCTTTAAAATCTTAAAAAAAAAAAAAAAGAAAAAAGTATGGTTGTTAAGTTAGCAGTGATCCAAGCTATCTCTTAGCTCCACTGAGATATTGGTACCACTCAGCACACACTAATGCCCTATCACTGGCCTACGTACAGGGAATGTAATCTTGTTACATTAGCTCAATCAATTATTTACCGGGGCATGCTGGTAGCCAGGCTGTAATTTCAGTACACCCTTTCTCCCCTGCCACTCCTACCTCTAAAGCTTTGAGCTGGTGTGAAGGAGTCATCCTGTCTTAAAGCTGCCACAGTGTGTTGTTACAAAACAATAATGTACTGAGCACAGCAAGACACGGTATCATAACTGTATTCACCATGTTCAGACACTTTCCTGTGAGACACAATAGGGAAAAATGCTAAACAAAATTCACTCATTTTTAAAAATCTATTTACGTGTTTACATTTACTGCTCATTTAGGTGATGTAAGCCCTGTTTCAGACCACAAGTGGGATGTATGTGTATTCATATTAACACAGGAGTCCAAGCAGAACTGTGAAGAAAAGAAAAATGCCCTCCAAATAAGCGAAATATCCTATGTCACACCATGGCTGAAAATTAGGGGTGTAACGGTACACAGAAATCACGGTTCGGTACGTACCTCAGTACACAAGTCACGGTTCGTTTTTTTTTT